AAAGTTGCCTCTACAGTCTGTGGCCCTTGAATTCTGCATTCTTTGCCTTCTCAGAGCATTCACAGGGAGGAACCCGCTTTCAGCCACCCGCCGGGTAGACCGAGTTAGACCAAGCAGCCATGTTCTCGTCAGTCACCTGTGCACCCGCCTTCAGGGAAACCGCACGCTCAGAACAAGATCACGGACCCGTGTGCATGAGCACAGAACCCCCCCTCCCAGTCGGAGTGATGTAAGGACATTTTTTAGCCATTTTTTGCGGTCTCGGCATCTTCGGCCTCCGCCAGCATCTTCACAATGTCCCATCTGTTGGAGTGGTAGTTGCTGGAGCTCATGGCTACGGTCAGTATCGGAGTGTTGTAACACCGGGCCTTGGATGGCTCTGACTCGAAGACTATGCCATGGTGCCCTGTTGGCCTCTGCTTGAAGTCGCCCTTATGGCCGCTGTCAGAGTTAGTGCCATGTGGCATACTATAGAATCTTGGAAGCTCTTTCCACAGGAACCCACAGACTAGGACATCACAACAGAAACACCGTGCACCTGCAGATGCTATCAACTGATTACTTGTGGTAATTCTAAGACCATTTAATTTATGCTGCCCGGAGCTGGCCGTGACCTGCAGCCAGTTATCTTACCACCAAGAAGAGCACAGCAGGCAGTTCAAGAGCCAGTTGAAACCTGAAGCATCAAGAATTTGCCAGAAGCTCTTTCAAGAGGCATTGGCGACAAAGCGATTCCTCCATAACAACTTCTCCAGCCGGTGCGCCCTTGGCTGCGGGGATATGCGCTGGGCTCAGAAGGGAGCATTAAAACGGAAACGGAACTCTTCCTTTGGTCGAAAAACCATGAAAAACCCAGGTCAACAAAACTGCAGGGGGGTCAGCACAGCACATGCTGACACAAGTCGAACAGCGACCACCCAGAGCCCGACTCACTGGACTCGACTCCAATAGTTGGACCCTGCAAGCTAGCAACGTGCCAACATAATCGGCACGTGCAACACATTGCAACACCGTAGCTGAAACTTCTGTGCTAGCAAACGCCTGTGGCATACGGGTGCGCGGGGTGCCCCATGCAAGCCCAGCGATACTTGATATCAGACACAAACATGCCGAATACAGCGTCATCCGCGAGTCAGGTCAACATCTCGACGTTGGCCAAAAGAAAGGCTTTGCTGCGCTGTTGTCTCGGACTTCGCGCCTTGTGCTGTCTGACTCTGACGTTCGCAAAAACTACATCCACAGACCCCGGCATGCGCAGAACTCTCACATACAACTCGGGCACTGAAGGGAGATCGCAGCAGCCAAGCTTTAGCGAAACAGCAAACATTCCGAACAGAGCATGTCACCGCAGGAGCACGAATATCAGTGTCACCCAAAACTGCAGCGCGCTGCGGAAAAAACAGCCCAACCACACACAACACTGATCTGAACCAGAAGAAGAACTGCGACAAAACGTAACCCATCTGTGCGGAATTTGGCATTACTTCACATCGCCCTAAGGTTGATGCAAAGGCATCGGAGTCGCCACCTTAGCCCTCTAATCCGAACCTTCAATTTGTTTTGCGACGCCTTGCAACAGTGGATGCCATGACGCCTGGAGGCGCGTGATGTCTACATTGATGTCTGCAGATGTCAAACCACCCTCCTGTGGTATGGTTTTCTCAACCGTCTTCTTGCCAAGCGGGGCACTCCCCGTTGCGGACAAGCTTGCACGCCACCTCTGCGGCTTCCCAGCACGTAAATGCTGCTGAGATACGCAAAGGGCCAGACTCTTCTACAGAACATGGGTCAAACATCGTCGACCACCTTCGCTCTTGACTCTTTTGACTCCTAACCGCATTGCACCCAACCTCGCGCCAGCTCGGCTTCTCCTTGCCAGATGACATATCCGACCTGACACTGCGCGACGCGTTTCGGCTCCGCAGCAAAACAACACTGACAGATGGCGATGCCTGTAATCGTCCAGGTCATCATCCAACTGGAACTCTGCGGTCTTCTCGATTTCTGGCAAACAACAGACATGAGGCTGACGGTCTGAGGGAACTGGGATGCACTTCAAGGTACTTGGAGTTCGGGAAGCTTTGGAGGCTGAGTCTTCAGCACAAGAAACACCCTCACAAAGAAAACCCAACTCCCCGAAAAGATTGTGGGACCTGCTGCGCCCCCAGGTTTTTGCAGCCACGTGCTCAGGCCCAGCAGGGCCGCAGTGCCCAGCAGGCCAAGGATCAGAGCCCTGAGAGTGTGATTGATAAACGGCTTTATACGCAGCATTCATGTATGCGCCAATACGGGTGTGCATACATGCATGAAAACCGACATAGCGAACAATACAGTGTCACTACAGACATGACATGACGCACATTCCCGACATCACATTATGACAAGCAGTACAGACAGTACAGACTTGCATACATTGCAGACATTACAAACCTTGCACCACAGACATAACATTACAGACACTACAGACATGACAAATATTGCATGCACACACGTAAACTACACACCTGACATGCACCACATACGCCACATAACCTTGCATGCATTACATTCTTTACATATACTCCATGCTTGCACACACTACATACTACATACGTTACATATATTACATACATCAAATACATTACACACGTTACATAAATTACATACATTACATGCATTGCCTGCACTGCATACATTACGTCCACGACGTACATTGCATGCATTACATACATTGCATACAAGAAATATATTACGTACATTGCATACACGGTTTCGTTACGCTGCACGGCGTTAAGCTACATTGAGTTACGTTGCATGACATTACGTCACATTCCATACACATGTAGACATGTAGGCCTGTAGGTATGTGCACGCACACTGGCTGAGCTTGAAATTTCAAGTGGCTATACTGGCTAGGAATGTATACCTTCTAAACATGTTATCACGTAAGGTGAGATGCCGCCTGCTCTCCTTTTTAACAGGCAGATCGCAAGACGCGGAACGTTGCAAAGAAAACCTTGCCTCTCCGTCGCTCACAAAAAAAAGGTAAATGCTTCACCAAGCGTCGCAAATCGAGATGGAGTGGCTCCATTTCTGGCACCTTAGAGTCGGACAGCGTCCGCTCCAAGAATATCAAGAGTGCGACATGGCCCGTGATGCAGCGTGGGATGCGGTGTAACTTGTGTTTCATTTGTGCTTGGAACGGCACTAGAAAAAAACGACATCGGGACATGTGGAAGTCTCAGGCTCAAGGAGGGGCATGTTGCTCGTGACGTAGAAGTCTGAGCATGGCATGTGAAACATTTCGGCAAGGCGGCGCTGTGCCCGAAACCAACATTCTCTTAGATTCTCGCAAAACAAGGACTTGAGGGCAGCCGCGGCAAGGGTCACCAACGCAAACTCTCTTTGGGAACGCACGCGGACGGTGTGGCAACGACTTTGGGTCAACCCATTCATCCGCCATAATCCCGGAGAATCCTTCTGTCACGCATTCGGGAAAAGGCCACATTGCAGTTCGGCACAATGTCCGAGCATGCACAAGTTGAATACAGAGTCCTGAAACCCCGGCTGCAGAGGCACCCAAGCTGGGGTTTGGAGTCTGGATGCCCTCCTCCAACAAGGCTTCCTCCACAAGCGCATCCACTGCACAAAACCACAGGTACCACAGGTACCACACGTACCACACGTACCACACGTACCACACTGCGCTACACATCGTGTTCGAAGCTGTAATGCTTTTTTGCTCAGCCAAGGTGTCTCTGAGTCAAAGTATGTCAAAGTTAAGTCAAGGCATGTCAAGGCCTCCTGCGGCGCGGCGTCTGGTTCGGGAGCCATGGCGCTGGCGTTTGGCTTTGTGCAATTTGTGCACTCTATAGTTGCCCCTGACAAACCTTTGAGCCGTTGGGCCTCGGAGAGGGTCTTGCGATCATGTCACTTAAGTCCTACGGATTGGCCCAGTACCGGTTCATCTCCAAGGGTCTTTGAAGAACTTGGCACGCTGGAGGAGCGACAGCGCACATGACTTCCAGGTCGTCTGATTCCTGGGAGCTCGATGGCTCTCGATGCTCAACGCTCGTCATTCGATGCCTGTCACCCGGCCTCAGAGCGCCCTGGATTCCTCCGTGCTCAAGTGTGTTGTCTGCCGAGGGGCAGGAATTGAGCTTGCGCAGCCCTTCGGGTCCGGTAGCCTTGGGCAGATCCAAGAAGGGCTCTGGGGATCTTTAGGAAGACCTTGCGGGGATCCCCACAACAGCTTTGCAACCTTACACCTAGCGCAGCAACCGCCCCGCCCCCCCCCCGCCTCGAGGGCTCTCGCTGAGCGAGGCTCTGGCACTGTGCGGCCAGCGCGGGCAAAGTCCAACCTCCTTGGAGTGATGTTGCGGGCCGCGGGAGCACGAACTTGAGGCTTGAGCGGCTTAGAAGCTTCTAACCGAGCACCAAGGGCCCAAGGGCACCAAGGGCACCAAGGGCACCAAGGGCACCAAGAACCTTCGGAGCCTTCGACTCTGGATTCGATTCCTCTTCTCACTAGCACTGACAAGTTTGGACAGGGAGGAGAAAATTTCGAACAAAAACGTGAGCGAGGCAAACATAGAAGTGGGAGATGGCAGAGAGAAGAACAGCAAAAGAGCTTCAAAGCAAGGTGCACGCAGCCCGGCACAACAAAGCAGCGGGAGCCAGATCCGCCATGCAGCGCGGGATTGCATCGGTCCTAAGCCTGAAAGAAAGCTGCGGCAGAATGGGTGGGCACATGTGGGCACTTTCGCAATGCTAGGTCCGGTCCGCTCCTCTTGTCAGGGTGGGCTTCGCAAGAGCTTGAGCTCGTCAACGGCTGCCACTCAACTCACTAAAAGGCCGCCCACGTCACGAAAGGTAGAAACAAGCACCTCTCGCACAACGTCGCCTACAAGCCCTGGAAGCCCATCTTAAGTCCCGGACCATCTCACAACCCGCCTCAAAGCCTAGAGACCAGACCGCGCCTTGTTTCCAAATCCCCGAAACCACCCAACTTCGGCTTGTGCCTTCAGGAGATGCCGGAAATCGGAGCATGTCCACCTGAGAAGAGAATCAAGAAGGCATGAGAGCAATCAGGAGGCAAAATCAAAAGCCACTTGCGCTCACCGAATTTCCTGGGGCTCGGACGAGCTGGTCGCCCAGTGCGGACGGCACGCCGACGAGAGAGGAACCAGTGTCCTGCTGTCCAGGCTGTCCAATCCGGGACCCGGGAGTATGCAGCAGCGTCTGCAAAGGTTCGAACGTTCTACATGCACTGGGCAGGCTGCTCCGGTTCCTGAAAAATTCGGAGAAAGCCATAAAAGTTCCACAAGAAGCTTCAGCGGTCCACGACAGCTCTGCAGCCGTCGTCGCAAAAGTCGAGCTTCTGCCCATCAGCCTGGCTTTGCTATTTCACTGGGGATGAAAGTGTCGACTCGAGGATACATACGAGCTTGGGCCCTATGGGCCGATCGCGCTTTGAGCAGCGAGGCCTTGATGCCGTAGACTTGCAGCTGCCAGTAGCCCTCCTGCTCGAGGCACCGGAAGGGATTCGAAGGATGCCGCGGCGGGCGCCGGCGAGCGCGATTCGAGACAGGGCAGCCGAGCAGGGCAAGGGTCCTGGCTGTCCTGCACGTCACAGAAGGCCTCGGCGTCCCGCTAAGTCGAGGCCCCGGCATGATGCAATGCCTAAGATTATAGACTATAGACTCTACACAAGGAGTGCTCCTCGTATCTCCTTATACTTGAGATAACGGTCTGGCGTGGGGTGATTTTGCAACTTGAGCATCACTGGCTCCGCCGCCCTCATCCTCAATCCTAGCCCTGATGCTTTCCAGTGATCCCAGTGTTCATCTTATGGTGTGCAGGTGATCACTCATTTGGGCAGCGAACCAAAGGCAGCTGAGAAGGTTGTTGCAGACAACTGCAGTTTGCCTGAGACCAGCACCAGTTTGTGACCAGTCAAAATGTGGTCACCTGGGCTCAACTTAAAGGTAGCTGGGATCGCCCACGTCCGCTGGGGCCGCTGGGGCCGCCAGGGCATGCTCCGGACCCCAGGAATGAGGATTTTCTTCAGCGGCAAAGCGGCCATGCGGAGAAGCCAACTCTGAGGATGCCCTTCAATCGGAGATTTTTCGGAGCCCGGTGCTCTAAACCATCTAACACCTTCAACAGGCCACGGTTAAACCGCTGAAACGAGGAAGCAAACGTTTGCCCCCAACCTGGCCGACGGCAAGCTCTCCTCAAACGAATACCAAACGATGAGCTCCACATACAAAGAGAATGCCAAAAAAAACACCCCATTGAAGACAGCTCAGATTGCTTCGTGCAAGTCTGTTTTAACTCACGGCTTCCAAGGCCACTGCTCTCCCAGCCTCCGAAAGTAATCTCGCTGTCTTCCTCTGCAAAACTGCAAAAAGTCTCTACTGTGGCTACTGTGGGCTTTGCCAAGGATTCTCGAGGATGCTTCTGAGTTCAAGCAGGTTCCCATTTAGACGTGGAATAGTTTCTCAAGTCCACCACCTAATCCTCCAGTCACCACCTTTCTTCCTGCGTTTCTTGCCTGAGCAGGGCGCTCTCATGGCCGACCCCTGGGCGCGGGCGGGGCCCGCGCTGCTCCAGCCACCAGTTCAGGTGATATGGGCCCCTTAAGCCCATGGGCCTATGGGCCTACTTTCCATACTTTCACTACACAAACCTTTGATGTCTCTGAGGTCTGAGGTCTGAGGCCCTAGGAAATCCACAGCATGCCAGCAGCTTCTTTCGATCCTCTCTCACTTGGAGCATGGTTATGATGAGCAGCCTGAGTAACCACGACTCTGCCGATACCCCGCTCTTCCACGGCCTGTGCGGACTTGGCGAGGAAGACGCCGAACATGCGCTCCTGAAATGCCGGCTCCCCCCCCCCCTAAACCGTTAAGCTCAAGCTGTGGCTTGCTCCCAAAATCCTCCAAAATCCCTCTTTGATACACTCCACCCATCGTGATGGAAGCCGGTTCATAACTCGAGCACACAGCCCACACGAAGCCGACCATCTTGCACTCAGAGGTAGGCGGAAGTTCTTGCAAGCTTGGCATGTTGCAGCTTCTGAATGAATGCCGTGAATGCCCCCCCCCTCCCACATCCTGCAATCTGTGCAATAAGAATCTTTAGCTTCCAGAGTGATCCGTTGCTAAGTCGGCGCACCGCGTCGGGCACCAAGGAGCTCCAAGACCCGCCACCGGACGCAGCCTGGCACAAAGTCAAAGACAAGAAAGAATAAGTGGAGGATGTGAGGGAGGGGTCGCGTGCCCGGTTGGGCGAAGGAAACTCGCAAAGCCGCGTGAAAATGCTCGGGCCGCGCCGAATGTCGATCATCAGCTGGCTTTACTTAGAAGTTTCGGGCAATGTCAATGCTCCCGGCATGGGCAGACCAGGCTGAGAATTGCTTCAAGGGCCAGTCTTGAACCGCCAGCTCATGGCAACCCAAGAGGCAACATCCAGTGACGCTGCCACTGCCCTTACTCAGCCTTACTCCTGCTTGGCTGCTTCGAGTATACCAGTAGTATACCAGTGTCACTCTGCACGCCCTTTGTCTACTCGAGCTCTGTGAAAGGCTGCAAAGGCTTCAGCCGAATGCACGTCGGGAGAAGGTCCTTCCTTGGCGCCGTGTGTTCCGGACAAGCCGTTTTCAAAGACATAGAACAAACGTTTGCCTGAACACTGGCATAGATTTGCCAGAAGTCGAGCTCCTGACGCAGCACGATGGCTGAGAGAAAGGGGAAGGAGATGCATGGGTGCACATAGGTGCCAAATCCACACATGAAGAATGACTCTATCATCATGTTCAGATTGCAGGGTGCTGAACAAATCAGCCGCTGGCCGGCACCTTGGCAAACTCGCGCTGCTCCAATGGCATCTGCAGGCTGTGTGAACTCTGCCACAATAACATCCGGGCTGTGGTCATGAACGATCCGTTGAATTGCCTGCACAGTATCCGCTGCAGATCTGCCGACGACGTGTCGGGCAAGACCCAGTCCTCCCTGATGGAGCTCGTCGCAGAAGTCCACCACCATGACCTGGCTGCTTGTCGACAAGGAGGCGGCAACATCTCGGATTAATGTAGTCTTCCCACTTCGACTCGGCCCCAAGAAGATGCAACTGCCTGAATCGACAAACTTCCGGATCGGATCGCTAGTGCCCGGCAGCAGCCGTCCCAAATGATAGGAGATCGAATTGATGTGCTGCGTGCTGTAGCCAATGCTGACACGGTGTATGCCACCAACCACCGGATGCATTGTTGAATAAGTACCTTGTCCCCAGACGAGGCCCAGTTCCTCGGCAATCTCGATGAGGTCTTCCTGGGTGAGCTGAGTTTGAGGTAGCTCGCGAGGGACATCAGGGGATACAATCTGAATGCTCCGACCAGCTTGCAGTATCAACTGTTGCGCTCGGGCTTCGTGCAAGATGTTGGCAAACGACGACCCCAATGAGCCCGACGACGATGAGCCTAGTCCTTCCAGCACCCTGGCTGGAAGCCTGGTGAGAAGGCCGCCCAAGCTGAAAAGACATCTCTGCGCACCAGACGCGAAAGCCACAGCACCTTCACCGAATTCCTGAGAAGACGAGTCCTGCAGGGAAGAACTGGAAATCGAGCTGCAGAACCGAGGAGCCGGAAACAAAGAAGCTAACATAGCCCGAAACTCGCATCCCTTGATATGATGAAAGCTGACAGTCTACACTGCAAAAACATTCGCAGAGCTGATGTACATGCATGTGCCTGCATGCCGCACGACACTTCATCTGTTTTCTCGGCAACTTCAAGTGCAGGGCTCCCTCTCTTCTGGCTCATCTCCTCATGTTTCGCATCGAAATACCGCACAAGCTCACAGATCGAGAGCAGCGAGGATTGTTCCCCCTTGCCCCATGCTGCAAGTAGGTCTGTCGGCACCTCGCATGCTGTTGCTGAGTCCACATAAGCAGAAAGATCGACATTGACTTGGCCAACCACCAACCGAGATGTGTTGGCCAGGAGGTTCTGCCGGACTTCGGCATTCTGAAACGAGAAAACTGCGCCGCCCGCTGTGTGCTTCCTTAAAGACACAAAGTTGCCTTGGACAAGCGCGTCTTGGCTCGCGGGCTCCTGAGCATCCCGAGCATCCTGACCAGCCCAAGCCCCAGAAACAAACTTTGGTAGGTGGTTCGTCGAGCTGGTCACAACATCACTCCCCTGAGACGAGGCATGCTTCGCTTCAACCACAACCGCTGACACCGCGCTGGCAAAGACCACTGACGCGGAAGGTGTGATGGAAAACAGGTCAGGTCTCGCTCGCACGCGGCTCGCGGCAGAAAATGTCTGAAAACTTGCCTCGAGCAACGTCATTGGCACACCATCAGGTGAGCTCTGCAAAAGGTGCCCAATTTCCAAATCTTCCGCATTCGGGGCCGTGGATGGATTCAAGGATGCCAGCGCCAAGCTCATGCTGGGATAATGATGCTTCGATGCCACAAAGCATACGGACTCTCCATCTGTCCTGGTGGTGAACATGCGACGGAACCATGCAGAAGCCTCTGCGTCTTTGCTCAAACGACGCACTGGAACCTGGACATGCTGTCCAGTCATCCTGGAAAACTCTTTCAAAACCCAGAGCCGCCTGTTGCCCGTGAGAGCAAACCAAGTAGGACCTCTCTGCCACACAGAGAACTTGGGAAGAGCGGATGCTTGCAAGCCGGACAAGAGCTCTTTCAGCGTGTCGACGAGAAATCCACCATTCTTGAAGCGTACTTCAATGGAGTCGTGGGCCCAGCGGATGCTTTTCACGGATAACTCCAGCAACTCCTCCGACTCCTGGCTTCGGCGTCGGCATCCCACGTTTAGGGATTCCTATCTCAGGTTTGGATTTCAGGGGTTCCGGGATGCAGCTTGCAGGGTTGAGCATCTGATCCTGCTTCAACGATTTCAAATTCAAGGGAACGGCCTGCTCAGAGTCCGCGGCATCGTTTGCTGGCATGCCTTCAGGGAGCCGGCACGGGCATGGGTTGGGTTGTAACGGCTTGTAGCGCATCAGGTGAAGCGTGTGGGACCATGAAAAACAGCTCGCAAGGCTGCAGGCCACGTCGACCAAGCTCCTTGCACAACAGGCGCCTGCTGCACGGCTTGGCACGAAGTCGGGCGCCGCGCTGCGCAGAGCAGGAGCATCGTTCGATGGCATGCCTTCAAGGAGCATGAAGTGTGTGGGACCACGACAAACTGCTGCCTGCAACATCACCAAAGCTAACCATGCACAAGAGGCGCCTGCTGCACTGCTTGGCACGAACTCGGGAGCCGCGCAGCGGAGGGTGGGAGCATCGCTCGATGGCATGCCTTCAGGGAGCCGGCAAGGGCATGGGTTGGGTTGGAACAGATTGTAACGCATCAGGTGAAGCGTGTGGGACCAAACCCTCTCCTACCTGATGTGCACACTCAAAGGGGCGAGACTGTTTTGGCTGCAACTCTGGTATGGTTCCAGGGGAAGGAGGGGCATCCCTCCTTCCCACCCGAGGCACATGCCCCAAAGCGGAGCCGCAGCCACCACGAGCCCCTGCCGAAGCCAAAAAACCTTCACCCAAACGCAGCGCGATAGGCAGGCACAACCATACCACAGCGACTGCTATCTTGGCAGCTCGACTCGGCGCAACTGGCAGGGCCGGCCCGCCTGCATCAAACTACGCCAATCCACATCTCGGCGTAGATTTGGGCTCAGCTGGCTCCAAAAGACTGTATCATGGGACGGCCCTCGAGAAAGGGCGTCCGCCCAGCCGTTCCTGGCTCCTGCGAGGTGGCTCAAGCGCAGATTCAAATGCTCCTGCATGCAGAAGACCGCTGTTGCCTGAAGAATAGAAGCCAAGGGCTCTTTCATGGAGAGACCCTTGGCAGAGGAACAGACCACGCCCAGGTTGTCTGATTGCTGGCGCAAGGCAATACACCCCACGTTGGGGCGGCGAGGCCCATGGGCATACTCCTGCACCTGCATGGCTAACAACACCAATTGTGCCAGGGCTTCTAACGCGCAAATCCTGGTCTCGAGATCTGCATCACCGCCAACAAACCAGCCAGGTAGCGCGGCTCTATCCAGATGGAAAGAGAACCAGATGATGGACGAAGCCGCCAGAGGAGCGCCCTCTGGCAAGAACCAGCCTCCAATGCCAGCCACACTGCCCGAGGCGAACGCGTCCGCAGCTGCAGGGCCAGAGCCAGCGGCATCTACTGCCAGATGAACAGGAGACTGCAATCGAACCACGCGCATGAAGAATTCTGCCACATCTGATTCCTGCCGAGAAGGCCGCACGGACTCTGACGCGGCATCCAAGAACTTCACCCACGCGCGACCCTGTTTCAGACGGCAGCTCTGGAGGTCCGAGGGGCACGTGATCACCCTGCCGCTGCACTCAACAGCCTGCCACCCCTGCTGTACGTCAGACAAGCAGGCGCGGCGGCGCACCCGCAAGTTGGAGTCAAGGACGCGCAGCACTTCCGCAAGCTGTGTCTCATCCAAGCACTGGAAACGCAACGCAGGCTTCAGGAGCATATGGAACCAAACTGCCATCCACGGCTTGAGCCACCGGGCTCCACAGGTGAACCAAGACAAGAGGCCCACCAAGGCCTGTAGATCCCGCCGACGCACATGCCCTTTGCGCGCGATGACCTGCAAGCCCGCAATAATGCGCGCAGCCTTGTCCTCAGGCAGCGTAGCCCGGGGGGCGCCCCGGAAATCCAGAATCCAACCTGTCCACTTCACGCACGCACTCAAGGTCAGCTTCTTCCAAGACAGCGGCAACCCCAGAGCGCTAGCCAAAGACACCAGCAGCGAAGCCATCAATGGAGCTGTGGAAACTGGAAACAGGGCCAGCTCGTCATCTACACACATGCCCAAGAAGTGCGACGAATGGAGAAGCAGATGTCCTAGACGTACAAAACCAGCGGCAACCCTGGACCACCAATAGGCGCTCCAGGAGCCGCCGAAGTGGCAGGTGCGATAAACCAGCCACCTGGTGACGCCCTGCGGGTCGACCGCCGTGAACACAGAGTAGCCTTGGTCCTCCAGGGCCACCTTGATACGTTTGTGCGCCGTTTTGACGTCCAACACGAACGCAATCCACTGCTCATCTGAGTGGCGGGAAATGAACTCCTCCACATCCCACAAGCCTGGCAACTCAATCTTTTCCGAAATGCGACACAGGCGGTTGGCATTGCTGATGGTGCTGTCCCCTATCAGGCGGGGGTCCGCGCCGTCTTTCTTGACCAGGCCCAGACGCCCAGCTGCACATCGCCTCCCAAACCGCCTACGCACTTCGTCCAAGCCACCATCAATCCACTCGGCGAAACCACAATCCACATCACGCTGCACCAGCTCCATGAGCGTCTCGGGGTCATCCAGCGCGGTCCCCCAAGGCGCATCCAGAACTAGCAACTCGAGGTTGGGGCGCGTGGGCACCTCCACCTCTCGCCAGACACCGGAAGGAGGAATAGTACGGTCAATGCCGGCGGGGACTCCGTCACGAAGAAGGGGTATGAGGGCCTGGTCAATGTCGCCGGTTAGCGCGAACAAGTCTCGCCAAGCTGCCCAGCCGCTATCCTTGCCGAAGAGGTGAAGCCATGATCTTTCAGGAACGAAATCAAATCCTTACGAAGAACGCCGATCTCTCCATCACTCAACCAGGCTTCACTCGAATGACAAGCTGCAGCCCGCAGCACGCGGGGCACTAGATCCCAAGACTCAATGCGCGACAACCAGGCACGACGCAGTTTCTGCAGGACATCCTCGCATCTGCATCCGATTGGACACCGCCGCCATCATGTAAGCGTCGACGGCCTGAACCATGCGGGGGGAGGTGCAACTCCACGTCATGAAACTCTTCTGGCGCCAGGGGCGGGGGCAAGGCAACCACTGCACCACAGTCGCTGTCCTGATCCCCACACTCACTCACACGGGGCGGGGACTGCGCAACGGGCAGCCCACGTCACCGTGAGCTTTGCTGCGGGCACAATGCTGAATGATGTGACCTATCCCCGCAGATGGCACACTCATGCTTGAAGCGGCAAGAGCGGTTGCTGCACTTGCCCTCCACCCACAGCCAGCATTCACCATTTCGGACACGTTTGGTCGGCAGGCGACCAGGACCCTGGCTCAACTGCAACCGCTTGCTGTCGGTCTTCCGCGGAAGGGGTGGGAGTCCAGAAGGTGTCGGAGTCGCAAGAGGCTTTTCCTTCTCCAACTTGGGCACCTTTGGACGCTCAATGAGCACGTGTCGTAGCATATCTCTGTCAACCACCACATGTGTAATGGCGTCGTCCAGGGGATGCCCTGAAAAACATAACTGGAAGACCTCATCGAGCACCACGCGATCGGCTGCCTCGGCTTCTTGCACGGTCGGGGCCCGGAACTGCTCGGACGGTTTGCGCGCATAGAGGGCCATAAACTTCTTCATGTACACAATCCATGAGTGGAGGTGGCAAGCGGACACCATGGCAAACGCGTGCGCGCGGGTTTCCAGGATTTGCTGGACCCGGAGGGCAGCCCCTGCCAACTCAAGGCCCCACTCCTCCGGAGCAGCCTCCGAACTGGACCGACCGCGACGGGCCTTCACCTCCAGAAGCTGTTCCTCGCTGAGGATCCCCCGCCACGGGAGCCACTCCCAAAACTTGTCCGTAGCCTGTTGCTGGACGACTTGCAAGTAGCACAACGCTGGGAGAGTTTCTGAAGTCACAACAAAGGATGAGTAATTCTTTTCAAGCGCGCGACGCATCTTCTCCCGCCCAGCCGCGTTCAACTTGGACCCGGAGACGGGGACGCCACTCGCCACAGTGCCCGGCGGCACAACTGCCAGCGCATCGGAAGATGAGGGTTGCACAAGTTGGGGGAGGCCTGCGCGCCAGAACATGCGAAGGCGAGCCGCGTGAGGATGGGAGCCCCATTCGTCATCACCCAGCGCTGCCAATTCCGCAACCTCGATGCGGGGGCGTAGCTTCAACAGCCACTTCTCGAAAGCCGGCTGGTCTATAAACGCTGCACGGAACAACGCAGCGCTGTCGTAGCCGAGGGAGATAATGGCATCCGCAATCTTGTCCAAAACGCCGGCCTTCACCAACTCTGCGCGGAAGGGGCTCATTGTGTTGCTGCAAGCAAGAAGAAACTCGCAAGACAAACTCTAACCACAACGTATGGATGGCGCAACTGAAATGCTTTGGACAGGATCGACAAGGATGCGCCACGCAGCGAAGATCCAACAATGCCAACCAAACACGCCACGCGACTACACTCGAAGCATCAGGCCCAAGACCAACGCAACGAGCCTGGTTCAAACCACTGCCAAAACCCCCAAAGGGTTGAAGAAGACAAGCCACGCTTGCGCACAACCATCTGGTTTCAGAAGGAACTAACAAGACGCGCAACTACACTCGAGGCAGAGGGCCCAAAGCCCCAGCAACGAGCCAAGCCGCGAAAACCAGGATTGCGAGTCCAATGCTCATACTGGTCACCCAGTGATAGGCTCGGGCGGCACGCTAACGCCCAGACCTTGCGCGCCTTGCACCACACGGACTTATGCGCGCAACCCGAGATCACATTGAGGAGCCAGTGGCCATCGCAATCCGCCAAATCATCCAGGGGGACAACCTCCTCAACCTCACCCGCTTCGGACTCGCTGTCGAACACAGTGCCAGTTTCCGAGAAGTTATCCACCTCGCCCACCTCCGGTTCTTCCCGGATCTCGCCTTCGTCAGACTCATCCTCAGTGTCCGACAGCGCGGCTGCAGGGGCATCGCCTGCAGACAACGGTGGGACCTCGGCGAACAGTGCCTCATCCACGCGGCCCAAGCCTCTGTCAACAGGAACATAGGGGCGCCAGCCCTTCTTAAGCTGCTCGAGCACCCGGCACTGGCACTTGAGCTGTGGGTTGATGTCGTCGCGTGAGTAGCGTCTCACACAGGACGAAACAGACGCTGAACGATGATGGCCCTGGGCCTCCCTGAGTACATCGGTAACCCCCACTTGGGACGCCCAAGTGAGTAGAGTGGTCTTGAGGGAGTGAAGCGTGAATGATGACGAAACACTCGGCTCTAAGCCCGCATATGTAACGAGGCATCTTCGAAAACGTGAAAGCATGCCAGAATAACCTAGGGGCTTGCCATTGTGGTCCAACACAAAGTCACGAGAGGGGCACGCTTCACGCATGCTGGCGATCTCCTCGAAGAAGACAGATGCCCAGTTGCTGTCCAGCAACCCGCACCGCAGGCAATTTCAGGGCATGCCGTGCTTGCTGGACTTGGTCCTCCAGCACCATCCGGCAAGGCAATCCTGGCTCAACCACAGAGGCCAGCTCCAGCCGTTGGATGTCGGACCAGCGAAGACTGGCCCAAGCCATGACCAAGATGACGCAGAGCAAGAAGCTATCCTCGCCAGCCCCTTGAAGCACTGCCTGCTCAAGGCGGTACAACACAACAAGAGGCAGAGGAAGCGCCTCCTTGACGCGCTGCCGGGTCCAAAGCGCTGAGTTCTGCCACGCCGTCACCAAAGGACTGCTCAAAGCTGCTGCAAGCTGCTCCAACTGAAATTTGGACGCTGCAAAGCGAAGAGATGAAAGAATGCCCAGGGCAGACTTCTTCCGGCGTTGACCGCGGTCTGTAAGGGAACCTTCGGCCAGACTCGCGAGGAAATCCAAAAGCTGCGGTAGGTTGGGGCCACCTGGCGACCATGAAGCATTCGCACAGAAACACAGCCACTGACGCCAACCAGATAAGTGGCGGCGCAAAGTGGACGGGGCGCGGTCCATGAACAAGGGGAGGAGATGATCAGCATCCACGTCTTTCAGCTCAGAGAGGAGCCTGCTTTCGCCGCGCACCGCATCTGAGAACCCTAGCCAGATAGTCGCCAGGCGCTTGCGATCTTGCGCCTCCAAAACTGCTAGGCTGGGCTGCTGCATTGAAACAGAAGACACCAAGTGAGACGCAGCGATATGTGACGCACTCCTCAACATCTGACAAGCAAGGGCAGGGGTTGGGGCACTCTCAACTGTGACGTCCCGGTGGTCATCTGGAGCAGGAAGTTGGGGAAGAACACCGATGCGCACAAGCGCAGGACGAGGCAGGTCATTCCCAACCTGGCTGACCATCACCCCCGCCGCACGCACGCGGGGCGGCGGGCGGCGCTGGTCGGAGCCGATGTCCTTGATGGAATACGGAGCCGCCCGCAGCATCGCACAACAAGAGGACAGCAAAAACAAGATTTCGATAAATCTCGTCGCTTCACTGCCGGTGAATGGCTGACCTGGGGCAGAGCGAACAACCTGAACAAGTGAACGCAAATCAAGCACTTCAAGCGTGCGCACTCAGTCGGGAGAGGGTTACGTGTATGCAACGGCCATTAGCCCAACCTACCCCGTCGCAGACACACCTGAAAAACAGCTCGCAAGGCTGCAGGCCACATCGCCCAAGCTCCTTGCACAACAGGCGCCTGCTGCACGGCTTGGCACGAAGTCGGGCGCCGCGCTGCGCAGAGCAGGAGCATTGTTCGATGGCATGCCTTCAAGAAGCATGAAGTGTGTGGGACCACGAAAAACTGCTGCCTGCAACATCACCAAACCTAACCATGCACGAGAGGCGCCTGCTGCACTGCTTGGCACGAACTCGGGAGCCGCGCAGCGGAGGGTGGGAGCATCGTTCGATGGCATGCCTTCAGGGAGCCGGCAAGGGCATGGGTTGGGTTGTAACGACTTGTAGCGCATCAGGTGAAGCGTGTGGGACTGAAAAACAGCTCGCAAGGCTGCAAGCCACGTCGACCAAGCTCCTTGCACAACAGGCGCCTGCTGCACGGCTTGGCACGAAGTCGGGCGCCGCGCTGCGCAGAGCAGGAGCATCGTTCGATGGCATGCCTTCAAGGAGCATGAAGTGTGTGGGACCATGAAAATCTGCTCACACAGCTGCCTGTCACGTCACCAAAGCTGACCGTGCACGAGAGGCGCCTGCTGCACTGCTTGGCACGAACTCGGGCGCCGCCCTGCGCAGAGCAGGAGCCTCGTTCGATGGCATGCCTTCAGGGAGCCAAGCCAAGAGTGCGGGACCGTCAACTTCGCCACATCTCCAAGTCTTAACGAATTGCACGCGAACGACAAGAAGACAGGTTGTAATGGCGAACAAGGCTACAGGATTGTAGAAAGGGCGGGGCGCTCCTTTACATGCAGGCCTGCGGTTTGCATCCAAAGACACTGCAAGGGTGCAGGATGTGAGCTTAGAATCATCAAGCCTTCGACCCCACAACCTGAACCAAGAACCAAGCCGAAACAAAGCTAGCCAGGTTTGAAGACAAGTTCCGCGGACTTGAAGGGGTTTGTAGCTTGCTTTGGGTGAAGCTTCAGCTCAGTGATAACGAGTCCGTCTTTCATCCGGGAACCGTACGAGGCCCACCGCAGCTTCAACAGGATTTTGGTCTCAAAAACTGATGGCGTAGCATAAAGGAGCGCCTTTCGGGCGAAACATACAGGCACAGAAGGGCAAGGTGCTCAGAACAAGGTTTTGCGCAGAATGCGCACCCACTATGCGTCAGTCAGTACTCTCTCCCAACTATTGGTCGTTGCTTCCCTGGTTCCAAGCTTTTACGAAACCCTGCACGGGCACCTGCACAGCCTGGCACGAACTCGGGCGCCGCGCAGCGGAGGGTAGAGGGGCCTCGCTTTCAACACCGGGTGACTTCGAGGATCCGCCCGGAGTGTAGATTGTTGAAGGAAGGTTTGAAGCGGGCTGCAGGACCTCGTAGACCGTACACGGGAGCCACTTAAAGTGACTCCCTTGGTAAACTGCAAGGGCAATTATGGCTGCTGTATGAGACAAGGGGCTCTCCGGCGCTGGCAAAGGAGCCCCGGCCAGGAAGGCATTGTTTGCCATGCCTTCAGGGACATCAGGGGGCCCTGAAGGGGAAGAATGATTTTCACATGGCCGGGGTCCCAAAGCTTCTTACCAGTCTTACCGCACGGCAAGGAGCCCTTAGCAAAACCCCGATCATCAACATCCGTCAGACTGCAGCAATACGAAGAAGGTTCCTTCGCCCATGTCCCATTCCTTGCAGAGGCATTCTGATGTTAGCCAAACAAAGCCTCGCTGCCTCTTGGGTTGCAAAGCGCTCAAGCTGCGCAGCAGTGACTTCGTCCTCGTCAGAACCTCAACATTTTGCACTCAGACAGAACGAACGAATGAACGAACGAACGAATGAATGAACGAATGAATGAATGAATGAGTATGCACACTAGCCCCAGTTGCCAGTTTTTAAGAGGCGCCCCAGGGAAGCCAAAAAGTTGGGTCACTGGTAACCCCCCTGCCCCCAAGGGTATATCTGCCCACCCCGAACTAAACCGCTAAACTGCCCCTCAACCAATACACCCTAAACCCTAACTCTAGACCCGAAACTCTCAACTCCCCCGACCACAGGGGGTTCATTAGGCGAAAGCCGGCCGTGCAGGGAGCAGGGGATGCTAACGTATGCTAACGCCTGGCTGAGCATTGCCTGGCAGTCATGGAAAAACCGCTGAATAGTCCCACCGCAAGACGTCATCTTTTGATGAAAGGGACCAGGTCCAAGGCAGCGCTTTGCTTGGATGCCATGGCCAAAGGACGATGCGTGTCCAACGAACTTTGAGCTTTGAACTGGCGTCGGTATCTGGAACATACGCGGGCAAAATGAAGCTCAGCTAGAACTGGAAGTGGGTATGTCCAATCACAGCACTACTTGTTGGCTCCTCGCCACGACCAGTGACACGAGACTGAGAAGCACGTGTATCACTTGCATCTCCGGGGTTTGCGACAGCCTCGAGGAAGTTGAACTCGGAGGTCTGAGATAGGCTTGAAAGCCCGAGCCCCAACACGCCGTCGAACTGGAAGCTCGAGAACCTTCAGGCGAGGAAGAGACCCCAATGAATTTAGGGTTATAGGATCTGGACAATGCTGACTTGGCATTGAAGGCCCCCTCCTCGCAACACAAGGCCCAAGCCCCGGAACTCAACTATAAACCCCCCTTCAACTGATTTGTGGTTCGGCAGAGAGATTTCGAAAGAGGCAGGTTCTCAAGAACGAGCCCAGCAGAGCCCCGAAAGAGGCCCCGAAAGGAGGCCCAGGAGCTCCCCCTTGCGGTCCATAAAGAAAACAGGCCCTCCCGAACAAGACCACCGTGTGAAACCCAAACAGTCTGCAAGTTTATTTTTCGGCCCCATGGTTTTTTGCGAGAGTACTGCTGAAGTTATCGAGGGCTACTCCATCAAATCGGATCGCGAAACAACAGGTCACCCGGAGGATGTCTTCGGCGCTTCTGGCTTCTCGGAGTCATGAAAATTGCGCTTCGGGATCCGGAACATCATCACGAAGAAGAGTTCACATCCATTGGCCGAAAAGGATGAATCAAATGACATCGTGCAACTTGCTGAGACGTTTCTAAATTCTGCTGCTACTTCGGCAGCCGAAAAACAGGGTAGAAGCTCGCAGGCAGGCCCCCGTCATGTAGCGAGCAGCCGTGCTTCATCAGCAAAGGCCGTGACTGTAGACTCATGGGAAAGCAAAAAGCTGAAACCCTGTGGTGCTCTGCTTCGTAACTGTAGCTCACTGAACACCCATGTCCGTGCGCCCGGCGGATCATCTGTCATGTCCTGCAGTTCCGTCGTGTGCGTTTACCACACATCCCCCAGATTCGAGACCCTCTCAAAGGAAACACTGCCTTTCTGCGATCATCTCCTGCTCTGATAAGACATCCTGGCCTGTGATGTTCTCTGACCGCTTTGGTTACTATCATCTTAAGCTTTCCAATCCACTCCCGCAAGGTCCGTGGCAGAGACCAAGCGCAGGTCGACGCAGCCATGCTCCATCTGGGGCTTTGCATCGTCGTCGTCCTATCAGCATGCTATCAGGATGTGTGTCCGCTGCACACGGCTCATCAGCCACAGATCGTTTGGAGGTTACAGAAGGCAGTGGACATGATCCTGTGCTTGGCCAGTACACACTCAGGGCTAAAAGGTTTGGGCAAGTTCAATAGGGATGTGTACCATGTTGGAACGGCTACCGTGTCCAAGTTTAGGATAATAATGGATAGTAGGAAGGAATGCGTGGAATGCGCGGCATCTTCCAAGCTTCGCCCAGGCCTCGTCCTCCTGCAGTTGCGCCTTGGCGCTCTCCACGCGAGCGTGGTCCAGTTGCCTTGAGGTGTGCCATACAATTTCATGCAATACACATCCCAGTTCGTGCCGTTCGTGCCCTTGCACTAGACTCGCGCCTGGCACTTGCCTTAGCTCAGACTCTAAGGGTTTTGAAGCCCCCAAGCCCTATAACCCCAGACCCTAAACCAACCCTCAAAGCCTTCCCCGAGAATCCCCAAAACCCCCAAACCCTGAGAAATCTTGCAACTGATTCGAGCCCAAGACAAGAACCCTACACCCTAACCTACCTACACCCCCAACAAGCCCCAAGCCCCAATCTATCCTTTCCAGAGCTGATCCATGCTGATCCACTCCCTGTGCCAGTGAGCTGGTTCTGCGGGCCACGGGAATGGTTCGGTTTGGCTTTTCACCCTCTAAGGCCGCAGGCAGCAACGATGCTCCGCTGACACTGCCAGCTGGTGATGGTGGCACCGGCTCCTTTGGACGGAGAGCGGTGCCACAAATTGAACCGGGGAAGGGAAGGGAGGTGAAGGAGTGCTGCAAGTCAGGCTTTCGGTGCCCGTTGGGCCTTCGGAGCCGGCGGCCCCAGGCAGACTTTGTCCTGCCTCGGCGCACGGGGACTTGATGAGACTCACTTGATGCTTCCAATAAAAGAACACCAAGGCGCACGAAGATACCCGTGATCTCACCCGTGCCATAGGAAACGGTGATCTGATCTCGGGCCTGTCCCAGCTCTCGCTCCCGCTCTCCGCTCACTCTCCGCTCACTCCCCCCCGGCAGGCTGAGACCATCCCCAAAGTCTGGGAGAGCGTTCCGGTGTTCGGCATTGCTGCCGGTATCATTGTCAGCCCGGCAGGGGCAGTCCTGGTTTGGCATCACCAACGAGCCGTCGACGTCGATGTCTTTGGCGACCTGCAAAGCTGCTCTCACAGTGTCCCTGCTCACCTTCTCGACAGCATCGCGCAGTGGGGCCGCATCGCGCTGTGGGGCCGCATCACGCTGGGCCCATGACCAGGGAGGCCCGGCGCCGGTAGCGGCGATGGCTGAGGCAGGTCTCCGCGCCTCAATTTTTTACTACTCACCAGCTTGCAAGTACGTTGCAAGAGGGTCGAACTTTTCCAGTTAGGGCTCCTGGGAAAACCACATTACAGGCAACAGTCAAAGCGTGCTGGGTTCCACAGCGGAGTGAGTCAAGTGCACTTCTTGTGAGCCTGCAAGTGCGTTGAGACGTGTCAGCACACAAAACATTCCAGCGCGCACCTATCTGAAATTCGACTCATTCGTCAACGCTTCAGCCCTGCAAAACTGCGCCAAGTCGCGGCACATAATGGAAGGTAGGACCTTGGTCCGCAACAATAGCAACTGCCTTTACAGTAAAATCTGGCGTGAGAAGCATTTTGTCGTGGTGACGTTGCTGCAGGGCCTGAGGCTTCTCAAAAGGTTACAGTAAGCTTGCAGAGGTTAAGTTGGCAAGTTGGGGTTTTGACATGCCGGGGCTCCCGCCAAATGTCCGCTCCCTGTGTCAAAGACCACCTGATGCCAAGGTGCGAGACCCACACCCAAGCCAAGAGTTGCACACTTCCACTTGCGATTATGAAACTTGCCCCAGGAGAAAATCGGTCAAAGCCTTCGCCCGAAGTTCCTCTCCCAGTGCTAGAGCCAGCGCCTCGAACTGCTGGGGAGTGGGCGCACCCACCGATATCTGGCCGTAGTAGGCGCTCTTGTGATGTACAACGCCGTCCTCACCTAAGCCGCAGGGCGGGGATACTTTTGCGATGCTGCCACCCCATTGTCGCAGAAGTTCCGGTGTGAGCAGGAAGGAGATTCCGGATCGAAGCGCTGGGCCACGAGTGACACGCACTGATTCGGGGCGAGGTCTTTCCAGGACTTCGGACAGTGTGCTCCAAAGCAAAGCGAAACAAGGAGTTTTCGAGGACGCCGCCCACCTCATCCGGCTATATTGTGCACGTGCACGTGCACATGTGTGCGCCTGCGCGTGCGTCCGTGCGTGCGTGCGTGCGCACAGGAGTGGGGCATGTTGCTGCAATGTCCCTGCAAAGCGTGGCCCCCAGCAAGCCCTTGCTGTGTTGCTTCCAGCATTTCCTATTTCCTGTCGTCACGTGACCGACAACCAGGACGACCAGCTTGGCGCCAGACTGTGCAGTGGGATGAGCTGCCGCCTGGTACTGGAACTGTACTGGGTGAGACAACGGCAGGCTTTGAAAAATTAGGTGGAGACAGCTGCAGCAGAACCGCCGAACATCACTGGTCATCAAGGAAACATGTGCAACTGGGTACCCACCTCAGCTTCACTGAGAAGGGGCCGTGTTGGACAGCATTCTTGGTGGCATGCACACAAAGACCTGGGGCTCTTGAGGAGTCGTTGGCTCAAAGTCCCTGAACGCAAATGATTCCTGCAGTCTCGGGGTACTAAGGAGCCCGTAAGAAATTAGAGGCCTGGCACCTGCAGACGTCATCCTTCAGTGAATCCTTCAGTCTCACACAGCTACCCGGAGACACAAACCTTCTTCCATCTTCCAAACCTCAACATACCGTAACATACCTCACTCAACCACACCCTCCCCTTTCCAAACCTCGCCTCCCACAGAGCAGGCGCCAAAGGCAGCCAGCAGCCGCCCCGGACGCAGGGAGCAGCGCAGCCTGGCTGATTCTCATTTTTTGCGTCGTCGCACTGCAAAAATGAGAGTGCAGAGCTCTGCACAAAATCCAGAAAACAACAAGCACACACACACACACACACACACACACAAAAAAAAAAAAAAAAAAAAAACACAACAAAAAAAAGAGAATGGCCTCGAGGAAGGGCGAGGCTTGCCTGCGAAGGCGCCCTGCTGCACAATTGCAGGCTGCGTCGGTAGCTGCGGCACTGTAGCTTCGAATGCTGTCTTCCTAGGAAAGACAACTGCACGGACGCAGCTGCGTGCCTTCGTCACATGGACGAGGAGCGCAAGGACTCCTGCAAGAACGAGGTGCAGTGGCCCCGCAAAAGCCCGAGTCAATGCCACAACATATCGCCTACTCAGAAGAATCTCGCTGAACCGGAAGCAGGCTAGTTTGGTCACGCTCCCACCCAAAAGCCCGCCAGAAAGTCCCACCTGTGGCTGCAATGGCCTTACCCCAAGCAGCGTAAGCATCCAGACATCCCGGGTTGCGCCTCCCAGGACTGCGCTTTGAACTTCGCGGCTCGCTGCCGCGGCGACAAGAGGGCCAAGAGCATCCATCCCGGCGAAAACAAGGAAGAACGTAGTACCACGTAGTAGTAAGTGGAAGGTCGCGGGGATATACCTGGGCGGTCACGCTCCCCCCCCCCCCAAATAAGGCACTTACCCAGACGCCTCAAGCTGGGGGACTCTTCCAAGTTGGCTGATGTGATGAGATCTAGTCGGAATCGCGGAAAAACACCCGACACCTCAGGGCCGCGGCCGCCCCACGTAGCGGACGTCGTGCGCTCTCGGATAGGGCGCCACCCCGAGGCTGAGCCGACGAGGGGCTGCAAAGGCACGAGCAGTACAGGAACAACTTGGCTGGTTGCATCCGTTGGCTAGCATTGGCTTGCACGGGGTTCACAATCGAATCAACACTGGCGCTCGCTATGTGTCTACAAGTCACACAAGTCATTCAAGTCTAGTCTATCAGCCAGATGGACAGCAAATCATCAGAAGAGCAGCATGAAAGAACATGGAATACAGCAGGCGCCACGTCATAAAAGGAAGGCTGCGTTACTACATGTGCACCAGTGGCAAGTATCAACAGAGATCCCCGGCAAGCGAAACCGCTAAGCCGCTAAGCCCTTTCAAGCCCATTCCCCGTGAACAGCAGCGGAGTGTTCCGTACCCTGGTCTTGGCTTCGGTGTTCTGGATGTTCGACCTGACTGAGAGGAATCTTATTCAGCTAATTAAGAGCGCCCGCAAGTCGCAAGTGGTGGAGCTGAAGCAAGGGCTGATCCAGGCTCTAGGGTTCAGGGTTCAGGGTTCAGGGTCTGGAGATCTGGATATTCTTCCAACATTGGGCATCCCGCGGATGGCCTTCAGCAAGTTGTTTTGAATTTGGTCTGTGGGTTTCGGCACCTTTGCTTCGTTTCCCCAGGCTCTACATGCCGTCGAGCTTTTCTTGGGGACCTTTTCTCCTGGATGCATGCCTCGGAGAAAGCGTGATGTTAGCAAGGGAGCTAGATTGGCTATCTGTCTGGGTCAACGAACTGCAGCGAGGAGCCCAGCAGGAGCCACATATGGAGCCATGCATTCTGCACGAAATTTCCGGGTCATGGCTTTCACCAAACACGGTTCAGAGGTTCGGGCTTTCGGAATGCCATATCAGTGTCTCAGAGGAAAAGACGCAAAAGCTCCTCTCAGACCCGGTCTCCACACCTCGCCCTGCATCTGCACTCATCACCCTTCCAGCTTCGCTGGATGCACCCGAGGACTTCTTCGGAGGCGTCTGTAAGTCGTTTGAACAAATTCTCATCTCGCACGGTTACTTTGGCTAGTTTGCCACGGTATCCGTCGGGTCTCTGCGCCCCATGTCGCCACCGACCTCGGGATCTCCCCAGGCCACCACGGAACCACTGGCAAGGATGGCCGCAAAGGCCTTGCTTGAGCCCTGAATCAGCTGCACATCCCTCAGCTGCTCACGGACAGAGCTGCAGTCGCCACCGGTGGCAGCATCCCTCCAGGTAACAACCGAGCCATCAAGCAGTAGAGCAGCAAAGGCATACGACGAAGCTTGTATCTGTCGGACGTTTCTCAGCTGATTCTGGACAGAGCTGCTGTCACCACCATAGTCAGGATGGCCCCAGGTCCTCACAGTTCCATCTTCCAATATTGCTGCAAACGCTAACTTTGTGGCCTGAACATTCTGCACGTTTTTGAGCTCTGCGTTGATAGAGCTACAGTCGCCACCCGCATAGGGATTCCCCCAGGTCACAACAGACCCATCACCCAGAACTGCAGCAAAAGCCCCATCCGAAGCTTGGATGTCCTTTACGTCCCGCAGTGCGGCATGCACAGAACTACAGTCACCGCCGTACTCAGCGTTGCCCCAGGTCACCACGGATCCATCGTCCCGCAAAGCGGCAAAGGCACGCCCCGAAGCCTGGACGTGGCGAACATGCTTCAGCTGGTCCTGCACCGCACTGCTGTCACCTTGGTAGCTCCATGTAGAAAACCGGCAACAAAGGAGTTTGCTGTATGTGTCGCAAAAAAAATGTAGCAATCAACATACCCTTCGACCACTAGTGGCAGTGCGGAACCAGAGATATGAGGACAAGGAAAGCGCCCAAGCGAGCCTCGCTTGTTAAACCCTTACTTTCCTTTCGTTTCAAAGCAGGCTTCGCGGACCTAATAGCCTAGTGTTTGTTAAACCCTTCTTTCAGCAGGCTTCAGTAGTAGTCGGGTAGTAGTCTAGTGGTAGCAGCAGCAGCAGCAGGAGGAGTAGGAGTAGTATTAGTCGTCGTCGTCGTCGAAATAGTAGTAGTAGTAGTAGTAGTAGTAGTAGTAGTAGTAGTAGTAGTAGCAGCAGCAGCAGTAGTAGTAGTAGCAGCAGCAGCAGCAGGAGTAGTAGTAGTAGTAGTAGTAGTAGTAGTAGTAGTAGTAGTAGTAGTAGTAGTAGTAGTAGTAGTAGTAGTAGTAGTAGTAGTAGTAGTAGTAGTAGTAGTAGTAGTAGTAATGTAGTAGTAGTAGTAGTAGTAGTAGTAGTAGTAGTAGTAGTAGTAGTAGTAGTAGTGGCAGTAGCAGTAGCAGTAGCAGTAGTAGTAGTAGTAGTAGTAGCAGCAGCAGCAGCAGCAGCAGCAGCAGCAGTAGTAGTAGTAGTAGTAATAGTAGCAGCAGTAGTAGTCGTAGTAGTCGTGGTAGTAGTCGTAGTAGTAGTCGTAGTAGTCGTAGCAGTCGTAGTGGTCGTAGTAGTCGTAGCAGTCGTAGCAGTCGTAGTAGTCGTAGTAGTCGTAGTGGTCGTAGTAGTCGTAGTAGTCGTGTAGTAGTCGTAGTAGTCGTAGTAGTCGTAGTAGTCGTAGTAGTCGTAGTAGTCGTAGTAGTCGTAGTAGTCGTAGTAGTCGTAGTAGTCGTAGTAGTCGTAGTAGTCGTAGGAGTCGTAGTAGTCGTAGGAGTAGTAGTAGTCGCAGTAGTCGTAGCAGTCGTAGCAGTCGTAGCAGTCGTAGTAGGGGTAGTAGTCGTAGTAGTCGTTGTAGTTGTAATAATCGTAGTAGTCGAAGTACTCTCTCTTCTTCGTGAAAGTAGTCTCTCTCTCTCTCTCTCTCTTCCTCCCTTCCAGTGCACATGGTACCCGAAGGCACCGCCCCAAGGGGCGTGCTGCACCGAGTGAGTCGGTGTGTGACAAGTGCAATAAACCGCCTGGAGCTCCAGCAGTCCTGGAAAACCCAAATCCCACAACAATCCCCAACAGCTTCGGCTCCCAGTGAGGGCTGTGTGGCGCGACTGCCTGTCGCAACTACCGGTGTGTACTTCCACGCTTGGTTCAAGACAACAGCTTGGGGTCCGAGGAACAGCCGACACTAGTTGCACACAATACATTAGCTGTGGGCCGTGGGTGTGCACTATCTCTCTCTCTCTCCCTCTCCCTTCTTTCTTCCTAGGTTGTGCATTGTTTTCCTATACTGTAGCATACGAGTCACCCCCAAGGCTGGGGCAGCCCCAACTGACCACAGATCCATCACCTCGAATGGCTGCAAAAGCCTGATCCGCAGCTCGAATCTGCTGAACATTCTGGAGCTGCTCCCTAACAGAGCTGCTCTGAGCGGCTGCGCCAGAGCCCCATGTGACAACAGATCCATCTTCCAGGATAGCCGCGAAGGCTTGCTGCGAAGCACGAATTTGCCGAACCTTGCGCAGCTGCTCCCTAACCTGGCTGCTGTCACCGCCAAAGCCCGGAGAGCCCCAGGTCACAACGGATCCGTCGCTCAACAGGGCCGCGAAGGCATACGACGAAGCCTGGATGTCCTGCACATCCCTGAGCTGATCGCGGACAGAGCCAATGCCAGGGGCGTCAGATTGAAAACGACCCCAAGTTTCAATAGATCCATCACCGAGGATGGCCACAAAAGTATCGCCCGAAGCTGCGATACGAGGCTGACGCAGATGCAAAGTCAGGACGTCTCCAGGCTGCACACCACACTCGCTGATGGTGTGCGCTGGGTTCAGCACCTCTCCAGAAGCCGTGATCAACTTTCCTTTTCCGGTGTGGAACAGATTCTGCGCGGTCTGCTGCAACTCTGCGACAGGACACTCAGCTGTTATACTGATATGCACAGAGCTGCCGCCCATCAGCACCACACAGACATCCATTGAACTCATGGCCAGATACTAAAGGCCGAAGGCCACGAACTAGCTGTTGTGAACGCACGAACTTGGGCCTGGAAAGGCAACGTGCTTTTCCATACACTAGCGCTCACTATGACCAGAACACCAAACCTCGAACCAAAAGCTTTTGGTATACAAACCCCTGATCTTGACACTTCCTGATGGATGTACAGAGGCCTTGACACCCGCTCGAACGCTCATTGGCCACCCGGAGGCTACATGTCCGGACTTTTGCCCAGCTCACAATCTGCCAACACTATTTTCTTCATGAACTGCTCCTGGAGCCTCCTTTTCCGTTTCCTCCTGTCCCTGATGATCCCCGGTCTTGTTTTGCACAACTGATGCTTGGATCGTCCAGTATGGGCAGTTGTTTGATAAGAATAAGCCTGCAGCCTTCACCCAGGACACCATGCGCCAAGAATGCTGCAAAAACGACAAAAACGAAGCAACCTGAAGTAGCGCGAAGACCCCCCCCCCTCGAAGTCTTCAGCGGCTCCAAGGCTCGGGCCGGAGTTTCTCGTTGAGACTTCTCTGGCCTTCCGGCAAACGACTCGCAGATGCATTTAGGCGGGAGAGAGGGGCTGGGAGGGCTGGGAGCGTCTCATGAGTGAAGTTCCAAAGCTTTCTGAGAGCGAAAGAAGAGTTGGGGGGATGGGGGGAAATGATGGTCACTGCTCTGGGCCCTCGGCTCTTAACCGTCGCCACGGTGTCTGCACAGCGGGACTTGGCCTCGGCCACCTGGTCACAGATTTGTGTGGCAAAGATGTCACGGGAAGAGCACCGAGTCTCACAAAGCTGGGTGCCGCTTGTGTTCGGGGGGGACGGGGGACACCTTGAAAGCCGCCATGGCGCAAGAATCGCCACCATTTCGAAACCCTCTAGAGTCCTGAGTCCTAAGCTCCTTGGCTCTTTCAATCCCGAGCAGTCATCAAATAGTCATCAAAGCGTCACACTCCTTGCCTGCCGTTCGAGGTCAGCCTTCGCAGTATCAAACTCCTGGTGGGCACAAGCAGCGAGAGCATCGCACGAAAAACCACGAGTAGGGCACGAAACGAATTTTGAACGCTGCCCGCCTCCGCAATCTTCTGCAGCTTCCGGTTCTTGCCTGAGTGGGGTAGATCAGAACCGTTTACGAGCCTTTGAGAAGACGTTAGAGTTCAAGCCCGGACATGGATGCTAGAATCTCGTGGGATTGCAGACAGCCTGGAACAGCGCCCGAAAAACCGTCTGGGGTCATCCTCTCCAGTCTTTCCCGCGGGCTGACCCGGTCTTCCCCGTTCTCCCAACTTTCAGCCCCTTCACCACCCCCACACCGTTCAGGGCCCAGGCTCTCGAGCTGCTTGATTGACTCTGCGGTGGCCTTGGACTTCTGCTCCTGTTGTGGGATGAGATGCTTCCCGCAAGGCTCACCTTTCATCGGCCTCTCGCCTGCCCAAACGCCCGACGGCTCATGCTTGTCTCGGCTTGTCAAGCTCAGGGACTCCGAGTGCTTCGCGCATGGCCAATGGCTTTTGCAGCTTGGCCTCACTACAGCTCGAGACGGTCCTCCGTCTCGAGCATGGAAAGCATCTGCTTGTTCTGCTCTGAGAGTACCCGGACATGCTCATCCTGCCCAAAACAGTTCGAAGAAGACAAGACTCACCATCTCTTTGCACCACGCGTAGCCGCCGAGCCCGCCTTGGAGGCTGTCTCGGACTTGTCCTGGCGAAGGCGCTGGGCCAAGGAGCCGATCCTGCAAGCACGGGCTTGGGCCAGAGGGGGCCGAAGGATTTCGAAGCATGGCGGCGCTGGGCAGTGACGCTGTTCGTGCGAGATTGGTTGGGTGAGTGTTGGATGCAAGTAGGGAGAAAAGCGGCGTTTCTCTGCACACCCTTCTAAGCATCGCCCTGGGCTCCAGGCTTGTCGTTGATGGCCTGGAGCTCGCTCTGCAGCAGAGCATCGCGCTCCTGACCCCGAATGGCACAGCATCGAGCTGACGTTGAAGACTCCGAGCCAGTCTGTAAGATGGTGCGCACTTCCCTTTCATGAAAGCCCCAAGGGCAACGGTCAGCTCAAACACGGTCCTCGCAAGCCCGGATCTGATCCTTATGCGGCGGATGAGAGAGGGTTTCAATTCAACTGGACATGTCCAAGCGTGCTGGAAGGATCACCAAAGCACCATCCGGTTCTGAACCCTTGAAACCAGATGCGAAACTGAGGTCGGGTCTTGAGCTTGTTCACGCTCTTGCTCGACCTCGGGACCGCTGGCTGTGTTCGGTTTGGCTCGGCTCTTGGGCAGTTGCCTCCATTTTTGTCTTCTGCTCATCTATGCACCTTAATCGAACATTGAGTGCCTGAGCCAAGTACCCGTTCCAGAGTCTCTAAGACGAGCTTGTTCTGCTCCTGCAGTCGCGACATGAACCCTTCCGAGGGGCGCGATTGGATCAAACCTCTAGCAGGGCCCTTCAAGCCTGGTTTGCACTCTGTTGCCTTGCACAGGGACAACAAAGAGTTGAAACCCTAACTACCCTAACCTTGCCCAACACACCTTAATTTGACGTCTGGTCGCGCTTGCGCTACAGTATGACCCTCGAAGCCTTCAAGACTCTCAGAAACATGAACTGACGCCTTAAGAACAACTGGAAGAATCTTCAAGTCAATCGTTTCCACGAGTGAGATGCGAGCGGCAAACGCAGCGCATCAAGACACCCGAACATGACACAAAACTGTGGCAGCTCCCGACCGACAGCTGGTGAGTCCCGTCGACGGTGAAAAGTAAAAAGCGATCACTTTGGACATCCCCACCTTGTCCCTAAAACCCAACTGCAAGGATTCAAGGTTGCAGGACTTGACAGGCGGTGTTTTTTTCTTCTGGTTTCCATGCTGGTTCAAAGTCCGATCCGAAAGAACATGCTAACCCGTTTTGAGCGCAGGATTCGGGTTTAGGGTAGCACACCGTATCAACGCATTGTCCATCTCATTTGTCATGGAAGAAGACAATTAACGCATAGCACTAAGCGTTTCTTTGGGCTTGGTGTTGGCTCGGTCCGGGAAGACATTTTTTGGGTGTTGCTGGCTTTATGGGGGAAGTTTCGGGATTTAGTACTTCCGGCAGTCGTAAGTCGAAACTTGAAAAGTACTTTGATTTGAAACAACACACGTAACTTTTTCCAAAGATATGCGAGTCCGAGCCACACTGGCCAGCAATGAAACCTTTACCGGGACACCCTTCGAAACTTTGAGCGCGCTAAGACCACTGCGTGCGACACCCCGAAGCCTGTCCTGAAGGAAAGTGATTTCCGTCGCCCGCATGCCATCGCCCGCTTCGCGCGGCATGGCCTACTCCAGCGGCTTCAACGGTCAGGAAGTTTCAAGAGCTGCTTGTCCCGCTCAACACACCGCACACACCGTCTCACACGATGCCTGCAGGGCCTTTGCGCACAGCTTTGTGCGAAGCTTTGTGCTTTTCGGAACTTTGGCATTGGCCTTTTGGGGCCTTTTTGGGGCCGCCTTCTATGCCTGAAGTGATTTGAACTGATGCCTTAAGCCTGGCGGCTTTGAGGTTTCGAGCATTTGTTTACTTGCGAGGGCTTCCATGCCTCTGGCGGCCTCCGGCAGCCTCCAGCAGGGCGGCGTGGGGCGGGGCCGCCACCTTCGCTCTGACTCGATCGCAACGCCTTCCCTGAAAAGCTACTTTGTCGCTGCCTGTTGTTTCGTGAGCTTAGCGTTCAAAGTTCGAAATTTTGCGAACTCCACACCGACGTAGAAGTCTTCCACATTCTTCCACCCAGGCTGCGCAATCAAACCCGTACTCAGCTACTACTCAGCTCCACAAAGCGCCAAAGCGCCATACATCACCATATACAGCAAGCCCATCAAAAACACGCTGAGACTCCCCCGGCTTAGGCGCACACGCGGGGCCGCAGGGCCCCGTGCCCCCTCGGCGCCTGCAGAAACTACCAGGCGCCTGGTAGCACAAGTCAGTGTGAGCAGTAACTTACACTAACTTCAATTGTGATCGTACAACTTAGTGAGGTTAAACTGTGCCAACAGCACAGCCCCTGCAGCTCAGGACAAGAATTGCTCGTTAAGCCGTTAAGCTGCACACGTCAGAGCTGCATCTATCTGTTTGGATGACTCTGCATGTCGCCCCGCGGCCTTTTGCAAGGACAGGCGCCCCGCCCCCTCCCCGCCGCCGCGGGTGCAAAGTCGTAAACTGTGAGCCGCAGCGGAGAGACGTCAGCAGCGTCAGCAGCCACTTCAACAAGAGCCCTATAGAGGCCATGACGTGAATGAATGACGAAAGGCCAGTGCCCTCACGCTCTCTCTCTCTCTCACACACACACACCAAGCCCAGAGATACTCACTGAAGTCTCACACTCCCTTGGGCCCAAAAGTGCAGTTCAACCCTTAACTGACGGACGCGATATGCATGTTGGAAGGGAAGCTGCTATAACCTCGCTAGACGAGGCTGGACGTCCATCAAGTCGACCTTTCCTTTTGGATTGCCCGAACTTCGTCAGGCTCAGCTCGAACCGGGCCTGCACAGGCTAATAGGGTGCCTCTATTTTTTTGCTATTGCTTTTTCGCACCTGCACAGACCCCATACGAGCTACTCACACCAGTCGAAGGGAAAAGCACTGCAGCGACACTCAACAATACGCAAATGACCCACTAGGATGGCAGGTGACCCCAAGTTCCCGGCACCATCCGGCACCTAAGCCCTCATCCCTGCAAGTTGCTACAAGCTGCTACAGGTAGCAATCATGCGCCCACATGTCACATGCTCAGTCCCCTGGGGCCCCTGACTTTCAGCAACCCGGAACCAATTGCAACCAATGGAACCAGTTCCGGCCTCTTTGGACCCTCGCTTGGGCTTTGGAGCTGCTTCATCTGAAGGCCTGGTGCCTGCGCGGCTTCTGCGAGCGCTAGCAAACCGTTAGCAGCTATAGTAAAGAGTAGGCTCGAAACACCGACTCCCGATCCCAACCTCGCATGTAAGACAAGTGCAGGACCCGTGCTCCACTTGTGCAGGATTTTTTGCGGATCTTTGCACATGCGGGGTGCACTTTTGAAGAGAACGGAGCCCAGTCACACAGTTGTGTGTTTTCTCTCATGCCAACAATTTCTCTCATCCCCCCCTGCTCTCCCTGCTCTCCCTGCTCTCGCTCACCTCGCGACGCGCGCGGCTTCTCGCAGCGGCTTCCTGCACCTCTCGAGGAGAAGGAAAGAAGGGGGAGAAGGGGGAGAAGGGGAAGGCCCCATTTTTTTGAAATTTGTTGTGTTACCGTGTCTGTTACCTATTCCTTTGCTGCTTCTGCCCCCATCTTTGGCTTGTGGCTGAGCGTGCGCAAGCCGGCTCCTTGTGGCTGAAGTCCTGCGAGTTCGCAAGGGCTTCCACCGAGTACGCCTCGATGCAGTCCTCTGCAGCGCGCCGTTCGTCAACCCAATCAACAACCCCAAACCTCAACCCTGACCCACCAGACCAGAAACAACCCAGAAAGCTATAACCGGGCTCTCAGACTCTTCTCTATAGCTTGCTTGTCCGATACAAGCTGCACCACTGCACAGCATCGCTACGAATTCTTGTTTCCTTGATGTCGGCAGCGACGCCTTCGTGGAGGTTCTTTCGCCTTGCTATGGCTTGCTTCACGCAGTCGAAGCCGCAAAGCTTGAAGAGATTCGAAGAGATTGGAGCAGCGCAACCCGCAGCACCCCAGCTCGCTCCCAACTCACTCCAAGCAGCATCCAGTAGGATGCCAGCGCAGAGCTAGGCCTCAGAGCTCAGAACTCGAGCACTCAAGTTCCAGATGCTCCAATGAAAACAGAACGGCGGCACGACAAGCCACCGTCCCGAGCACGATGACACGACTTTCTTTCACAGCCTTTTCGCTGAAAAACTTTCGAAAGCTCCTGGGCTCTGGCGGCAGCAGCTCTCCGTCGACCGGGGCCTCTGGCTCAGGGTTGGCAGCCCCATCCTCGGCAAAGTCTCAATCACATGTGTAGCTCTTGGGGATGAGGAGTGACCTGCCCGGGGCCAAGGCCAAGTCCTCACCATCCAGGCGGCTAAGGTCTGGCCTGGGGGAAATACGAGGAAACTGAACGGTGAGCTGAGTCTGGGTTTCGAGTTCGTGTTGGCGCTGCACGCAGCACTGCACGCAGGAAACTTTCGTCATGCCACGGACCTTCTCACCCCCTGCCAAGTCCTCACTCTGAGGTGCACGGCAGCTGGGCCAGCAGTCGCGCAAGGTAATCTGCCTCCTTGTGCGCAAAATACCGCAAGAAATCTGAGAAGCAAAGAGCAAAACATGGACCTCCCCTCCCCCATTGCTTTGGCCTCCACACACGCGTTGCCTTTGAAGTTCAGCATGTTGATCTTCCTCGGAGATCATATCGCGGCTGATGGTGATATCCCATGTGGCGTCATTCAAGCCGCCCTGACCACCTCCTTGCCTGCGCTTTTGCCGCAGTCGTGCCAAGACTCGTTGGCAGCTGCGTCACGTCAAGCGTTGCCTCAGGTCTGAATAGGCAGATGCTTCGCAGCATGACGGACAAACCGAGTTTTTCTCAGATGTTGCTTTGGCTGACCCCTCAAAAGGGACTCGGACTCGTGACTTGCATGTTTTTCGTGGCGCTGAGCAACACTGCGATGGGCTCCGCGCGATCTCGTTCTTGGACAGGTCCTGCGTGCCGAACAAGCCATCTACTGTCAGCGAAGCTGTAGGCACATCAGGCTCAGAACCGGTGATAGACCATCTGGATAGATCAGGGCACTGTGTTGGCGCGTGATGTTCAGCACTGGCGATGGCATTACGCTAGCTTGGACATGCTTGGAGGAGAGAATGAACTGAAACGTACTGAACGAGACAGAACACAAACCATCCCAAACCCATGCGTCCCTCCTTCTTGCAGTCTCAACCTCCCCCCCCCCCAATGTCCAGGAACTCCAGATCGGGCAGGCACAGCAGGTTCTCCACCACGGCCTAGAAACAACTCAAGCTGTCAAAGCTTCGCGAAGCACATTGACGCTCCCACTGGTACGTCGCAGCATAGACTGAGTAACCAGGCTATGGGAAACGACCGAGTCGAAGCGAGGCCACTAAAGGCTGCAGGGTAGAGAGTGGATCGAAAGAATCTCCCTTCATCAATCCCCCTCGAACTGGCCGTCGAATCCTCGACGCCCTGAAATCTCCCTCCACGAAGAGGATGCACCGCAAAACACAAGAGCCGCCGACATCCCGGGACCTCGGCGTTGGGCCCCCGGCGATGCGATTGGACTGCAGAGCCAGAAACTGAAGCCTCCCATGCTCAGGGAGCCCAGACCCCGTAGCCTGCTAGACAACCTTCAGGATCCTTCAGATGATCTTCGAGGCACCGCTCGGAGTTGCTGACATGCCTTGGCATACTCTCGAGGTTCTCGATGCGCTCAATGCGGTTGGCTTGAAGGTACAACACCTGCCGGGAACGCCGCGGATCGCGACGTCACATGACGTCACACAGGTAGTGCCCGACATGCACCCATGGACTATCGCATCCAAACGAGCTGAAGGCTGAAGAGACCTTCCATGTCTGGCCAAAGTATAAAAAAAGGGGAATTTTCTGCTGGGCCTCCGCAGACTCAAAGGGCTCCAAGCCGCAGATTTCAGCGAGGCCCTGCCACTGCAGGTGGAGCCTGAAGCTTGGGTTGGGTGGGTTTGGCGGACGATGACAAGTGATGACTTTGGTTAGACTTCCAAGAACTGCAGTTGTTTGGGCTGGCCTAGAAGTACCTGGTCCAACCGACGCTTTACACCAATATCACTGTGGGTCCACATGAACACACAAGTATGACGCAAGCACGGCCTCAAGATGCTTCAGAGGGATGCTCAGAAGGGGCCCCCGGCGATTTGAGTGTGCGCACGCGTTCGAAGGCTTCCTCCTGGACGGCAAGGCCAGGGTTCCCGTATGTTCCAGTTGAGGGCTGAGGGCTAGAGAAGGAAAGAAAATCGAAAGGCCGCGAAAGACCCCCCCTCGTGTCAAGTCCAGAAGGCATATGTTCAGCGAACGCGATGCTGAACAGAGAGCTCAGCTTGGAATTCAGGACCTCCGGCCACCCTTCAATCCAGACTCCAATCCAGCCTCGCTCATCCCGTCGTAAGCACCAAGCTCTGCCTGGCTAAAAACACATAGACTGGATACGCCGACGCCGAGCCCTGACCACGCAAAAACTCGCAAGACCCCCGCAGGATTGTGGGGCAGGTTCGGGATAGAGCAGAAGATTTTAGAAGCTTTGGAGACAGTGACGTTTAGGAGAGCCACCGGTGTCAGCGACAGCTCCATGACCAATCGCAGCGTCAGCCTCGGATGCAAAGAGGCAAAGGCCCTATCCCCAACAGTAACATGTTATCCTATGTTGAGCTCCGTGCTGCTTCGGGGGCTTACCATCCCAAAGCTGGGAGGGATGGGTAATCTCTGGCTCCTGCGAAGTTGCGAAGGACGCAGTCCCAGCCGTCACATGCTCTCCAGTCCTGATACCCTCATTACTCTTCGTACATCTGCATAAACCTGCTCACTTTCTTGTGCAATGGCAGGTATGCAACTCCTCATCTGCTTCCATTGCACGGCCACGGCAGCAAACGACCGAGGCCCTGCTTTCCATGCATTCTTGCTGATGTTGGCTTCTAGGTGGTGGTTGACATGAGAGGCTCCCAAACCCAACCCAAACACCCTTACGGTAAGCTGGCACACTCCCGGAGTGTTCCGAGCGAGACCCTTGATCCTTGAACCGAGCACGCAGACGGACTGCCTATGTCTTTGGGCATCCAGCCTCAACATCATCTTGGGGCATTTGGACCGATACTCACATTGGAAAACACGCTGCTTGTGGGAGTGGGTTGGGGCTCAATGATAGCATGCTCCCCCACATTGACCACTCGGCACCCCACTCACGGGACATCACCATCTCAAAGGCTATTGTGAGGAAACCTTTTCTTTCCTGAAAGGTCAAATTAGCTGCATTGGATCCACTGACAAACCATGGTTGTAACAACGGTGCCCGTTTCTCCCTCTTCACCGGCTGTGCAGCTAGGCATAACGCAAGATTTTGCAATCCAAGGTTTTGCAATCCTGGTCAACGCATTCGTTGGGCTTCAACCACCAAGTATGGAGGGAGGAGTTGATCTTGATCTGAGGGTGTAAATGCATACATAGGACTCAGTTGACCGCAATACTAGACAGGATGGAAGCTCAACGACGACAGCTCAGTATCTGGGATGCTTAGATGCGAAGATAATGTTAACAGTTTTAGCAAAGGTCCAGCAGGGCAAGATTTGAGATGCGGCATGCTGTTGACATTAAAACAATTCAGCTTCCTCTTGACAAAGAAAATCATAGAGCGTTGATGGTCGGGTAGTGTGCAATTGCATTGCCGTTGTTCACAGAGCCAGAACCATTAAAGCAAGCTGTGTTTTGCATGTTTCGTACCGAGTGGACTCGTCAAAGGGAGATGAAGGTGACTGCATCTTTTCGGCTTTTCAGTTGGGGCTTTGCGAAGCTTCTGGCAGCACCGTCAGGGACCCCAAAACCCAGCAGCGGGATACATTTTTTGTCGAGTTGTCGGGCGCAAAACTTGCGTCTGTTCGCGAAGTGTGAAACCCAAGACCGCTCTGTGCCAAGCGGCCTCTAAGCGTCTTGCGCATGCGCATTCTGGAATCTGTTCGAAAGCCCCTTAGGCGCTGGTTCCAAAACTCTTCCAAACTCTGAGACCAGCGTGACTAACAGTGACTAAGACCCTGCATCCCTCCAGATGTCTGACACACTTGCAGCTCCACAAAACTGCCCACCGCACGGCTCGCAGAGCATTGAGAAACCTTTCGAGACTCGGTGAAGCTCAGTATGACTCAGTCCCCCAAAAGTGGCATCTCTGTTCACAGCAAAGCACGGAGATCTCTCAACTTCAATGCGTCCGCACCACGGGTCCACGGACACAAGCGAGGCACCGCAAGTGTAAGAGACTCAAAATGGAAGGTACTCTGTTGCAGCTTTGACCTCCCGAGGCCTAGGGGGCATGCAAACGTGCCGAATGATCCAGGCTGGGCTGGCTGCAAAATTGACGCGTAAAATTTTACGGCCTGAGCGCTCACAAGCGCGCCCATGACACTGTGGGCCAAAAATTCTGTGCCGAGCATTATCCAAGCGTTCATGATTCAAACAGTGGTGGAGAGTCCAGAGTCACGTTTCCTTTATGCTTAGCTACGTCCAAGACGAGAAAGCTTTCCTTGGCTTCGCTCCGGAAATTGGCCCCGATCAGAAGCAGGGCCTTGGGTTCGAAGGTCAAAAACAAGCACACACACACACACACACACGAAAATCAGAAATCTGATTGCGCTTGCGGAGGAATGCCCACACCACTGAAAATCACCACTGAGAAATCACAGAAGCCACGGAGATCACGCAGAGCACGCCCACAACCTTTGACCTGCCGAATCCCCTAAGCGCCCATGCTGATTCCAGAGGATCGCCAGCTCGGAAACCTCCGAAACTCTGACGTAAACTGGCAGCTGTCAATCGGGAAGACCGGATCACGTATCAGGGCCATGGTGGAGAGTCCGATTGAGCCTGCCAAGGGTACTCAAGGTCGAGCTCGTCCAACTTCGGGTTCCTCACAAAAGTGAACTTAAGAGCAGGCTCGCGCAGGCTCGCGATCGAGCAGAAGCAGAGAGGCGACGTGTCTTGAACCATCTTAGAATATCTTGGACCTCGTCACGGCCATCGCGTAGCAGACCGTTCGAATGTCGTCCACCGCCTTAGCCCACAAAGGCCCAGCGTCCCAGTGATACTGGCGATCACTGGAATGATCACAGGTGCACAGGATAACAGGGATCCGACACCTTCCACGACCTCACCCTCTGCATCCCGCAGGCAGTTTACCTCAGGTGCTGCGAGACGCTGTGAGATGCTGTAGTCGCTCGTTATTTTACATGCATAAACCACCGTACGGCAGTTGGCCTTGGGTTGTCCCTTCTTGCATCGTGACTGCGACTGCAACAGCGTGATGTCTCCAAAGGACTTCGCAACAACAACAACTACTACTACTACTACTACTACTACTACTACTACTACTACTACTACTACTACTACTACTACTACTACTACTACTACTACTACTACTACTACTACTACTACTACTACTACTACTACTACTACTACTACTACTACTACTTCTACTACTACTGTTTCGGGCCGTATCGCACAGCACTTCTCCGACGAACGTACGCAGACAGCTTGGGAACAAAACGGTGACTTTCGGCGTCGCAAAGAAGGAACGAAACGACAAAGCCAACCTCCTGATGGATCCTGTGCGGAAACTAATCAAACACACACTCGCGCTGCAGCATGTTGTGGCAGCACACCTGCTGCATGTTGAAGGTCCAGATGAAGCAAGGAGCGCCCTGGGCCAGGAGTTGGAAGCGAACCCCAGTGAGCCCTGTCGGAATTTCTCTGAACCAGCTTTTTTGCCCTTGGCGAGCTCGCGCAACATGCTCACTGCGACCCATCCAACCTGTAATCCAAACTATCAGAACCCGAAGCCCAACGTCAACAAAACGATGGCCTGCTCCATCAGCTTGGCGCCCTTGAGCTCGATCTCGCACGTTTGTTAGAGACAAGCATTGCAGAATCTTCCAGAACGCTAAAGACCGCAACAGGACCTGAGTCTGAATTTCTAGCCTCACGCGGACCAGCCAAAATCACGGTGTCGAGGGTCATCTTGAGCTTTTTCCTCTCCTGCCCGACTCGGCTTGGGAACAAGCGCAGAGACACTCGCCACCCTACTCACCTCTTCAAGCCTAAGGCTGCCTGGAGGTCAGGAGTTTTGTTGCGAACGGCTCCCTCTCACAAGCCCCGTGAGCTCCTTGATGCCTGCATTTACTGCCGCAAAGGCAGCATCCCCGCAGTGCTTCTCGAGGGCCTCTCACGAGCAACTCGCTGAAAGCATGCAGCATGACAAGGCCGCACATGCGGTGGGGATCGGGCCTCTTGGTCGCCCTCTAGGTAGCACCGGATGATGTGCGGGGCTACAATGTACTCCATGTCCTGCGCGGCAAAGTATCTGAGCCAATGCAGGGAGCAGAAGTTCAAACTGCAACCTTACCTTCAGACAGCTTAAGCGTGCAACAAGGCACTCCGGCTACATCTCTGACTTTGGCTTGGGATGGCTAAGAGTTGCCTCCGCAAACTCTTCGAGGCGGAAGGAGTAGTCGAGCTCCTGGCTGCACCGAGCCATGTCAACATTGGCGTCGTATTCAGAAGGCCACCGCCACGACAGATGCGAAGGCTGAGGGCCAACTGGCCTTTCTCCGGCTGTTGAAGACTACTGGATGGAATTTGGACCAGCCACTAGAAACCCCAACAAGCGGTATTTCTGCTTTCACAAGCGGGCGCAGCAAAACAAAACAATGCCAGCTTGGAAATCACTTGACATGATAAGATTGAAGTTTAGTGCCTTTCGCAGCCGATGCTTTCGGGGTCGGGCGCTCTAGTCAGATTCTCGTGCTATGGATGTTGTATCTGATGCAACTTTTCCTGCGTCCAAGGAGCCGCCTTTCTCCGACCGGCGACTCGCACTCTATCCACTACACGTCACTATACTACGGAAAAATAGCCGCACTGCGATTATGTCCAACTCCGTCTGCATCACTCCATGCCGCCAGGCTCAGCTCGGCAACTTTCTTGGACACCTTCTTGCGCTTACCGGGACTTCTTCCAGGTCTTCACCAGAGCTCGGGAGCCACTCTGGAGCTGTGGCGCGGCGCGGGCTCGACTTGGGACAGAGCTTCAACTTTACCGATGGCCTGAGCCGTTCTCCACTCTCCGGACCTTGGCACAAGACAAACCTACAAGGAAGCCGAGCATTGAAAATTTCCATGGCAGAAAGAGGCTTGCCAGGCAAGGGACCCGCTCTGACTTGACGTGGCGCTCGGTGTCGCCCCACCCGCCCCTCAGCCATTGTGACAGGCTGGAGGGGCAGGAGGAACACGGACTTTCGAACAAAAAAATGCCTATTTGACTTGCGTCTCATGTCGGGTCTGCCGCCTACACTGTGACAGCTCCTAAGTAACTTAGTTTACTGATGCTGTCTACACTGTCCAAACTCGACTTTGACCCCATGAGGCGCCTCTACTGCCCTCGATCCTGCCCCCAGCCCCCTGGTTGGGCTGCCTTCTTACAGAAGCTCAGGCCGCGGGGGATCGCGTAGCTTTAAAATAAGCTCTCCAGAATTAAGGTGATGCCACGTATGTTCGGAAGTTGGGAAGTCCAAACTCCGCGTCTGGGTTCCAGGCCCCTGCTCAAACCTCACCACATATGCGCCATCGGAATGGACCCCAAGCACCTCCAAGGTGAGCTTCACACAGTGACAGCTCAATGACAGCTCAAACACATGTGCTCACGTCTCAGGATAACGATCACGATAGCTTGGACTGAGATTTTACCGCATGCTGCTGTGCCATGCTGTGCCATGCTGTGCCATGCTGTGCCATGCTGTGCCATGCCGTGCCGCTGTGCCTGGGCTGGCAGCCAACGTGTGGAAGCGCGACGGCCTGGACCGAAGCATGGAGAGAAGCACCGAGGGCAATCTCTCAGCGCGAACGTGGAGCCCGGGAGCTGTGAAGAAACGCCCTGAAGAACCCCGTGGCCTGAGCCCAGAATCCAGCTGACCTCCACGCGAGTGCCCAGAGGGAAGCAGCCTCAGGGCCCCCATGTGACACCTTGCTGAACCCACTGCAACCTTCAGCATATTTCAGCATAACAAGGGTTACCAAGGCACCCTCGGGCACGGCAGGGTTCTCCAGCTGGCGCACGATTTCCTGAAAAATTGTGGGGAGTGCGACTGGAGTGCATCCATGCTCAGGAAAAAGCACACAGCGATTCAGACCAAGTCAGACCAGTCTCTGGCTGCTGCTGTAGAAGAGTCTCTGCGCATTCTCCTTCCATGTCAAAATAATAATACAAAGGTCGCATTCCATCTCAGCGTGGGGATCATCGACATGCCATGACATGCCCCAGCCCTGCAAGTCTGCTGCCGGGCAACGCCACACCGTCGTCGCCTTCTGCGCAACCTGTCCAAAGAGATCCAAAGAGGATCCGGCAACGAGCATACCCCCCATACCCCTAGCACTCAGCGCTTGGCAAGTTGCCTTTCAAACAAGTGCGGGATGTGCTGGGGAACATCGAGGGTGGTGATCGCAGGCGAGGAAGGAAGAACAGCAAAAAGAACCATGCAAACATCTTCCTCGGTGTGGCCGCGGTCAAATTTGGGGTGTCCAAGTTTAATACTTGCAGAGACCGCCCATCGGTTGCCTTGGCTTGGACACCAGGGTTGGTGGCTCCATGCTCGTTTGGGGCGTTCTGTGGCTAGCTCCTGTGGGGCCCTGTTGCACGGGGCTTGCTTTATCATGCTTTATCTACCTTGGAGGGTGTCAACTCCCTGCGGCGCACCTGCAAGACCCGCTGCACCAAAGTGTCCACCAACTCCGTCATGTCCTGAAATGCCGCAATGCCGCAGCCCAAGACATCTAGCCACAGTATCAGACCATGGAGTAGGCGCACGTGGACTTGCAGTAGCTGAAAAGGAGGTCAGAGAGGAAGTCCACCCTGAACTCCACCTGTCGTGCACTCCTTGTCGCCGATGAAAATCTTCTTGTCCTCTCTTCTGCAGCCCAGCGCCTGAGACTTTGCCGCGTTTTGAAAACTGCCCCACATCAAAGTAAGTATCGGATCGTGGATTGGCATTGGGGGTAAACAGGGGCGCCTCGTAGTCTGCCAGATCCGCTGTCCTGGACATCCAGAGCGGATAACCTCAGACCGGGCCCGCGGCCTCCCCCCCCCACGGCCTCCCGAACGGGCCCCCCCCCACTTCCCCCACGGCTTTTGCACGGCAATTTTTGGGGGGGTTCGGGGGGAGAAATCGCCACTTCCGTCTTTTAGCAAAGGAGCCGCGTTGGACCGACCTCAGGAAATGCCCTCCCCAGGTTCCATGATGTAGCTGCTCCCCCAGATTCCAACGAAACAACATGAGACAACTGAGGATGCGGAAAGCATGAAGTCACAATGAAGTGCCAACCACAACATGCGGAGGCACATGATGTGCTCTGCGAACGTCTCGTCGCTCCAGGCAGAGGACTCGCCCTTCATCGCCTTCCCAGTCATAAAGAGTCACAACATGCCGGCGAACCTTCTAAGACCAGTTGGCCTCGAAAGCTCTGTCCGGAACTCAATGTCACGTTCTCAAACGAAGTTCAACGCAGTTGAACGAAGCTAAACTCTCACTAAACTCTCACCGTCCTTGCCTCGTGGCTCACGTTACGTCTGACGTCGTCGGACTGATGCGTCTTCAAGAAGAGATGCCAGAGCCTCAAAAAGCAGAAACAACTCTCTAATCTCAAGGGTTCACCAGCTTGGGGGGGATGGACGAAGATACTCATGGCTTCTCGGAGCTACACCCCTCGCATCCGCCAAGGTGTCTGTCTCACGTCTCGTGTCTCCGACTTCTTCCTCCTGGCTCTCTTCTGGAAGGCTATAGGTTCTCCCCTTCCGTCAGTTCATATTTGTTTTATACGTTCATTCCAGATGCTCTTCATCCAGAAAACAAAATACACGATGAGTGCAAAGAACAACAAATAACCTGCCTACATGTTTTCTCTCTTCTCTTGTCTTCGTCACAAGCTTACCTTTTCCTCACTTTTTTGCAACATGAAGGATGCACAGAATTGGTTGTTTCTCCGACACACAATGGTGCGGGGGAAGGCATGAAAGAAGGAGGATAAGTTACCGCCATTCTTCTCAACATTATGTATGGCTCTACTCTTGCTTTGCTGTTCTAAGGAAAGTTGTGGAACCGCGGAGTGGGACGTTTGTGTTTGCCTTGCATCTACTCAGAATCAACTTGCTAGAAAGGTCTGCGCTGGGGTGCGTTTTCTCTCCTCCTCGACGGACATTCGACGGACCATTACGGACACAAATGAGGAAAGAACAAAGGAAAACAGAAACACAGAGAGAGAGAGAGAGATCTGTGTAAAGAAAGGAAGAAAATCACAGTAAGTAGAACGAGGAATTTCGCTGTTCTCTCGTCCTACCTGTTTCTTCCACTCTTCCTCTTTGGACATACAAACATGGAATAGCACACAATAATACCCGTCAAATACAAGACCTGTGTGTCACCAAGGGTTAGCCCCTAGGACCTCCTGGACGCCCTGGGACCAGCTATGACCTGAGGAGCAAGTTCGGGCACGACCCTTAGTTGAAACCTGCATCCGTGAGCACACGGAGGCTGAAAACCGCACTGTCTTGACTGTCTTGCCGGTGTCTCGAATACTTCGAAGACCGCTTTCTTTGCCGGGCTTGCCTGTTTCATCCCTTTCCCCTTCAATTTTTCCCCCTCATTCTGTATTTCCGGTATTGTTTTGGGCAATGTGCCAAAGTACAAGCCAGGCCGCTTCACTTCTCCACTGAAGTGGACCACTCCGATGTCCTGCCGAGCTACGACCGCGATGATGCGGAGCTTCCAAAGCTTCCCAAGGCGACTCATGCGACGCACCCAACTTCATCCAACCTCTATCCAAGTCGTATTACATCCAAAACGCACTTGTCACGAAAGTTGTAAGAGCGTTTTGGCGCACTTTCGGCACCTCGAGTTCCATTCGCATTCGCTGCGGCACCCACTCCAGGTCAGCGCGGCTGAACTCCTGAAGAGACATCATCAGGATGACTCTTTACGAGTCCTCCGTTTTTTGGAGGTTGCAAAACATGGTGGCACTTCCCCTCTCCTTCCCTGACGTGACCATGAAGCGATGCCACTCGATAACACCTGGGCAATCGGATGCAATGCGGCTTTTAACACCTGCAAGAGCCTTCAACCCAGGTGCCACAAAGCGATGAACGCCTTTTGAAGGAGTTATGAGTTTGCCTAACAGCTTCCTGAGTGAGGCACGCTCCACGGAAAAGAGCGACTGATGCAGTTGGTAGTTCCAGGCAACGCTGATCTGATGCCTTGGATCTTCATTGCCACGGGCTGGCAGTTGTGGTTCCTTTGGGATTGTACTGCACAGGCCAGGGCTATCAAGTCTTGAAGTCTCGAGTGGTACTTCGATGCGCTCGACGTTGCTCTATAACGCCAAGCAGAAGGTGTTGCGGGCTTCTCTGCTGAAAAGGAGCCACGGAGACCCACGCCTCGAGGCGAAGAAGCGCGACAAATAGTCCTGGCAAGCATAAGCTTAGCATGGCGGCCCTGCGGCGGCCCTGCGGCGGCCCTGCGGCGGCCCTGCCGGCTCTTCACAGTGTAGCGCGAGCATGCTTCAGCGACAGGTCTCACATTCTCAGAGCTAGTGGCTCGCAGCCCCCAAGCATGAGCGCAGCATGCCTATCTTTTCAACTGTGGGCGCAGCACAGCGTCCTGCTCTGGCCCATTCCCTGCGACATGGCAAGGGTGGTTCTTGCCTCAGTGGGAAGAGAAGCAATGTCGGAAAGAAATCATCTCAGGACTTGGACATACTTGAACCACCGAAAGCTGAGGATGCCGCACGTCACCTGTCAGGGAATTAATGTCGAGAATGGATGTGTGCGTCTGTGAATGTATCGATGTTCTGCAGCTGAAGGACCCTTGCCGAAAGCGGGGTGGCTCGAGAAAAGTGGCTCTTGTAGACTGCAGACTGCTGACAAGAGAGGGCCAGCTGAAGCGCGTAAGCCTTGTAAGCCTTGGGCCTTAAGAAGAGTCTTGATGTTCCACGGGCATCCGTGAGCCATTCTGCACATCGAACAGGCTTAGATCGTTCATTCAAGAATGTCGGATGTATCTGACTCTCAGGCCTCCGAGTGCATCTCCTGGAACACGCCAGCATCTGGTTGCAGCAGTATTACACCCGCGTTGATGCCACCCGTCTGCCCCCACGGATAGTCCTGCACCCACAGTCAAGTTCTCGACACGGAGACTGCGTTGCAGGCTGATGGAACTCTAACAAGGGGGTTTGATTAGTGGGCTTGGCCATGTGCTGCTTCGAAATACATTAATTCACGTCAAACAAGCTTAACCATACAAATGTCAGGGCCATACAACACAGATGTCTCTCTCAGCCCCAGTAAGCCACTTCTGAATCCTATTAATCCCTATTCTTCGCTATGATTGCACCACCGCAAACACAAAGGACAACACAAACTCGAAAGTAGACCTTGGGGCAGGGTTGCTGATCTTGACCTTCAAGGTTCGGTCTGCGGCAGGATGTGGTGCTTTCCGCTGAGACATGACTTCACGTGAGGCACTTTTTGTAAAAAAATCGACCAAACCCTAAAAAGACCATCTGCATGCCCTTCACCTTGCCTTTCACCTTGCCTTCTGGCACGAAGAATGAAGCAAAGCCATGCAAAGCCACGAGGCGCAGCGGAAGAGCCATGGCCACAGTCATCCAGAGTCATCCACAGTCCTCATTGTCACCTCCAGCGAAGAATCGCCTTCCGTCGACCTCCCTGCCATGCTCATTTTCCTGGAGCAAGTTCTGTGCATTCAGCTTTGCACACTTTGCACACGTGACAGATGTGGGACTCTACGGCTTCGAGCATCACCGCGGAAATCCTAACTAAACTGCATGCACACATCACAGCTGTGGGGAGAATATTCACGGAATACTTCACCGACATCATCTAAGCGATGCCTAGACAGAAGCTGGAGATCAAGTGTAGCACACAGAGACACACTTGAACAGTGCAAGCGACGCCCTGGCCACGCACCATGGCCGCCGGGCAGGGCAGGTCGAACAGCTCGTCCATGGGACGGAACCTGCGAAAATCGGAGGAGGGGTGGGATTGGTTGGGATGCCATGGGACGAGGGAAAAAGGAGAAGCCGGTCTCGCTCGCTCGTTTTGCCAAGTCACGGGATGATGTCCAAGTCCAAGAGCAAGACCTTCCTCGGACTGCACAGGAGAAAGGCATTTTTGTTGCAAACTCCACCCATCACCCTGTCCCAGGAACTGAGCTAATTTCCGACCCCGAACCATTGCAGGAACAATCCTCAAGGCAGGGCAAGAATCTCAAACTCCACCAGGGTCCAGGCGGCCAGTTTGGTAAACACGCCATCAAAGATGTCTCAGTGTCCGGGAATTGGACTTGGAGAAGCTCACAGGCATGCACAAAGGCTACTACCTACTGTGCAGGCCCGAGGAATTCAACGGTAGAGCACAAGCACAGCTCACATATCAAGCCGAAACGTGCCAAGAACTGGTCCACGACTCACACACAATGGGAAACGGAGGGAGGCCGAACAGAATTCCACCTTGCAACTGGGCAGTTGAGCGCAACGCCTGTCTTTGTATTTGCGACATCTTTGAGAGCTTTCAACACAGAACCACGGACCATGACAAATAAGGGTGACGAAAGATGCAGATAGGCACACTATGCACATTCCCAGAAACGCAAGCCGAATGGCAAGGGCGGAAAAGGACTTCATGAATTGCAGACGGAGCGTCTCCCCTTGCTGACATAAAGATCCTCCACCCCATCTATGTAGTTCACCTCACAGACGACAAATCCTCTCCGTCTGTCTATCTGTCTGTCTGCCTGTGTGTCTGTGTGTCTCACAGTCAATAAGCATCTTGTCTGAACCTTGTCTCGATCGTCAAGAACCTGTGGGACGGTCCAACACCGGCCTCCTTGAGCTGCCAAAGGCCGTCCTGCTCGAAAGCTTGGAGGTAGTTCCGGGGCACGTCGTCCGTGTGCCTCGGGAGCTGAAGTCGGACCAACAAGCTTCACATGTTTGCAATGTTTGCAACATAAGTAACATAACCGCACACGGCCGCCGCTTCTGTACCCATTGTCTCCCGAGGAGCAAAATCACCCGTTCAATGTCGGGTGAGAGCTCACGCAGACGCACGCCAAGAACCAAAGCTCCTGTCCAGAGCTTGAATACATGACTTGCGGAGTCTTCCTGTGTGCTCGTGGAGAAGGCACTCTTCGCAGGAAAGGCAGCCTGCTTCAATTTCACTAGTCCTCACCAGATCGGTCTAGTTTGCTGGATGAAAGACTGAACCATGCTGACAAAGACGGGCCACCAACGTGACCATGATAGACGATGATAGACGATGATAGACGATGATAGACGACAGATGAGGACAGCATCCCTCAGGACCGCACCCAAAGCGTAGCCCGCATTGGCACCCCAGAGGGAGCCGACGAAGGCACGGCGCCCAGGCCACTGTGAGCCCTGCATCGGCACCAGCTATGCCGTTATGAACTATTACATCCCCGGTTGCCTTCCAGGGCTCCGTCAAGCTGGTGACTGTCACCTCAGCCATGAGCAGCATCCACTATCGTCAGCCTCACGCTTACATACCCTTCCCAAGCAGATACAGCAAAGCGCATCTCAGCGCCTCCAGCGGTCTCTTGCAGCACGGGCAGTTCAGCTTGTACCACTTCCAATCACCACCTCAGTTTGAAGCATACATGCACGCGAAACACGCATGGGTACCTGTGCGATCTTTGACCTTTCGCATAATGAAAACGATCTTGGAATTCCCAATTTCAGAGCGTGGCACTGTAATGGTCAGGCTGGTACGCGATCTGCTCCGTTCTGGTCAACGGCGATTGCAAACGTACCGACCCGAAAAAATACCGTCGCTCAATCTCGTCCTTCTCCTGGCATGGATGAACACATGTGGACACATCGTTCTCCTACGAAACGCAAGGCTAAGCAAGGAAAACTCCAGAGCGCTGCTTGGTGCATCGGTCCAAAGCCTCCTCCACTTTGCGACACTCGTCCCTCCACCAGATCTTCTCCCGATGGAGCTGGTGAACTCGGCGACGCAGCTCCGCCACCTCGAAAGGAGAGATCTTCTCCATACCCCGCCACAACTCCCATGAGTCTGCCCCTTCGCCTCCTTCTCCTCCTCGGAGACACCACCTGCCGGAGCGCCCTTAGAGAAGCACAGACAAGGCGCAAACAAAGAATCGAGAATGAAACATCTATATCCGGGGCCCTACAAGCCTCCGCACGCATCCAAGTTCTTTCGGGCCGCTTCACTTGCTCTGTTTTGCGAGAGCAAAATCCGCAACGGCTCCGTCTCTGGATCGATGCCATCCGATGCGGCAGCACCCATCAGCTCTTGAGGACTGACCACGGTTCAGGGGGTCCAGGGGTCATGGAGCTGTGGGGCTTTTGGCATGGGCATGAAGGTCCACGGTCTGCTGGCGAATACAGCTGCAGATTCAAGGCCCAGAAAGACAATCCGCATGAGACTCTCTCGTTCCGCGGCTGTTCCCTTAAAAGGCTTTGTGGTGCACCTGCTTCTGTCTGCTGGATCCAACACGGCGACAAGCGCAACGAGCGCGGGTAAGGGTTGCCAGAAGGCTTAGAGGTCAGGCCATGTCGTACATGGGGCCGGATGGAAACCAGAAAAGCGGGCACACATGAATGTGGAACCTGTCTAGACCACGAGCCAAAAAAGTGATAAATGACTTAGAGGAGAGTGCTCTGATGAACACCCATGACCTGCAAGTTTTCCGGGAAGCCATACCTCGAGGAATCACTTTTGATGGCTGTCTGCATGGATGTTGTCCGGCATAGCTGCTGTCTTCTGAAAAACCCAACCTTCTCCTCAGCACGTAGCCGAGCACAACCAAGCTGTGTGTCAGTCACCCCAAGCTTGGCCTTCATCTCGCGGATGGATGCCGCGATCCTTGCAACGGGGGCTGCTTGGGGTGCTCCCAAGGCAAGAGAAGGCAAAGTCCTCCAGTACGGCAAGAGCATCAGGGATTTCGCAGAGCGGGCTGAGCTGGATACACTAGGGTGACGCAAAGGCCTCCGGAGTAATCCACTTCCAGGTCCCGTCCAGCACCGCATCCAGCTTTTCAGGGTTGAAGGGTTCCGGCTTTGAGGGTTCCAAAATGCCCCAGCAGAAACTGCAAGAGGTTTTAAGGGAAACGTTGGAGGAAAAAACATCCAGTCGATGCAAGGTACTCCGTCTCTCCGAATACTCGGTCGAAGAGAGGATTCTCGAAGACGCTGCTGAGGAAGGGCCTGGAAAAGCTTCCAGGCGAACATCTGCCGCTGTCAAAAATTCTGCGAAACACTTTGACACAACGGACTGGAGCCCCAACTCAACTCTTCTCTAAGGCCGGCGGCATCTCCCCCAATCGGGCGCCGAAACGGTCCCACGAGGAGCTGTGCGCCTCCAGTGCGGATGTGTTGTGTGAGTGAGAGAGTGAGTGAGAGAGTGAGTGAGTGAGTGAGAGAGTGAGAGAGTGAGAGAGTGAGAGAGTGAGAGAGTGAGAGAGTGAGAGAGTGAGAGAGTGAGAGAGTGAGAGAGTGAGAGAGTGAGAGAGTGAGAGAGTGCGCACCAGAGCGAGAAAGAAAGAGACACAGCGAGATAGAAAGAGACACAGAGAGAGAGAGAGAGAGAGTGGGAGAGAGAGACACGTGAGGAGGTGGGGTGAGACAGAAAATAACAACAAAGAACACTCAAACACGGGCTGGAGAACATGAGAGGACCGGCACTCGAAGGAAGCCACCCAAGTTCCGATTGTGTTCCGCCTGGGACACGACCAGAGCAGACTCCGGCTCTGCCGCCTGCGCTGCTTGCGCCTGGTAAAGGTGCGCAGGGTCTGGGGGTCTGAGCCACTGAGCCTCCGAGCCTTCCCTAACACTGACAACAACAATCACAGACATTACAAGCTTACGCTCCAACTCCATCAGGCACAACCGGCGTGCAACTTCATACCTTTCGCACAAATGGGATGAACTCAAAAGACCCTTCTGGGAACAGCAACTCGTGTTTGCCCTGACAACGGCCGAAACAATGAGGCTAACTAGGCTAACTAGGCCTTTCAAACGTGTCAAGCTACAGAAGATCGGTGCCTTGGCATTCTGAGCGGCTTCCGCACCCTCAACGCCTTCGGCTTCCGCAGCCTCTGCAGGGCTCGTCTTCGGGTCTTCGGGTCTTCGGGTCTTCGGGTCTTCGGGTCTTCGGGGGGCTTCCCTTGGTTCCGGAATTGCATGTAATGTAATGTCAAATGTCATGTCGAGAAAAGTCGCTAATGATGGCTCCTGGCTGGGCGTTCAGATGCCATGGGCTTGTCGTGGCGGGCCAGCACTGTCGAGGAGCAAGATGGAAGAGGACAAGCCCGCAACCCTGGGCCCTCCACCCAAGCACACTCTCAAAGAACGCCCAATGCCATTCAGCTCACATCCGCGAACATTTCTAACAAGCACTTCACATCATTGCCCATGAATTCCAGGCAGCTTCATGTAGCAAGGTGCCTGCAACGAACCACGCTACCGAAAGTTGCACAGACCTCGGGCCTTGGCCGCATTGGCCGCTGCCTCCCGCTCCGCCTCGGCAGCTGCCATGGCATCGCGGACTTTCTTCCACCTGAGAAACGGGACCCCCTGAGGCCCTGGTATCCTGTTGGCAGATATCCCAGGCTATCAGAGGGCCTGTATTTTGTGCTTCGAATCGTTGCGTTGCAATGCGTTGCGTTGCGGGCCTTTCGTGTCATTGTACCACGTTGGCAGCGTAGTCTTTGTGGATCTTTGTGGCCACCGTTGCTCCGGAAAGGAGTTCCGCAGTTTGGTTTGGTCCCAACGCTAGATGTCGTAGCAAAACGTGTGCACTGGGTCTCTGAAGAACTCCGACCAGATCCAGTGAACTGAGCATATTGCTGCTTTGTCTTTTCAGCCTGCCAAGTGGCAATCCGCTACGCAGAATTATGAAGCATCATGCCGCAGCCATGTCCGCATGGAACGTTTTTCGAGGCCTTCTTGTCCTCATCGCCCAGGAAGTTAACAGCCCGAGATGAAGCATCCATGACGTTGGAGAACTTCTCCTGCAACCATTCTTGACAACACCTCGCATATGAACCCACGGCAGACTTCGCTCAGGAGACGATCTGCGCAAGCAAAAGTGCAGAAGCAAAAGTGCAGAGAAGTGCAGAGGCAAAAGTGCTGTCGAGTCAGTCCCGGGTCTTGTTCATGAAACTTGAGGAAGCCGCGGAGGTGGACCTTCTGTTACACTGCTCTACACTTTATCTCGTTCATGTTTTCGTCTCTCTTCTTCTTCTTCTACTACTACCGGGCATGGAGGTCCCTGAACCTGCGCGAGCTGGGTGCGCCCTTTTCGTCTCTCTCTCGCTCTCTCTCCCTTCTTCTTCTTCTGCAAGGGCTCTCTCTCCCTCCCTCTCCCTCTCTCGGAGGCTCCCCCGGGCCCCGGGCTCGGAGGCGCTCCGCATGGCCTCCCGCGCCTTCCGCAGTGCCTCGTCCAGAAAGGGACGCAGACAAGAGAGAGAGAGAGAGAAGAGAGAGAGAGAGAGAGCAAGAGAGAAGAAGAAGAGAAAAGAGAGAGGAGAAGCACAAAAAGGGGTTGAGAGAGGAGAAGAGGGAAAAGGAGAAAAACGGTCCTCGTTCTCCTCGGCAGCCTTATCGAACCGTGAGGAGGTCATGCCTGTCGAGGCGAACGAAGCTTCTGGACATCAAAGTTGAAAGTCTTCCCCGAAAAGCTCCTCCCCCAAAGCTCCCCCAAGCTCCCCACCGAAAAGTCTCCCGAGAGCTGTGTTTTTTTCTGCTGAGGCTGCGGCTCGCCGCAGACCGGGCCGAGTCCTTCCAGCTGCCTCGGCGGATGTCTGGGACGGGGGCGAGAGCCTCCGAGAGCCTCCGAGAGCCTCCTTTGCCAATCCTTTTTGTATAAGCATGATCATCTTAGCATCTCTAGAGCCCCAACACAGGCCAGTACAGGCACTCGAGACTGTAGCGTCCTCTCCTTCGCTCACAGCTCTTGCTCAAAGCTCTTGCGTCTCGCCCTGCGTTGACGGCGAGAACCCGGCTCAGGAGCTCCGAGGTCTTTGAGGAAAGGCCTGGGCAGCCAAAGGTGCAGTCAGTGCAGTCCGACAAGATTCTATTGAGTCTATTGTAGGGTCAAATCGGTCCTGGATTAACCCCGTAATCAGTGTCGCCACCCCTCTTTCTATGATAGGGGCCTATATGGGAGGTGTCTCTCGGGAAAGGCATAGACCCCTACCCCTACCCGTCTACCCTCAGGGGGATAGACCCCCAGAAATAGGGTCTATCCGAAACCGATAAGGTCGGACAGGGGCCTATGCAAAGAGGGGGGGGGGAGGGGGTTCTCTGGCATCGACCCCTATGCGGGCGATAGACCCCTATCGTTTTAGGATAGGCCCCTATGCAAAACGGACACCGTGGAGGTTCCCCGCTTGTTAAGCCGTGCAAGCTTGCTTCAGACACAGGTTTTTCAAACCCATCATGTGAGCATTGTGTTTTCCTAAACCCCAATCCCTAATCCCTGAACCCTAAACCCCTAAAACCGTGCCCCCCGCTTTATTCTGATTCGACCCATCATGCGAGTGTTTTGTTTGCAAATGGGAAGGGGGGCTTGTTAGGGTGTGCAAGCTTGCTTCAGGCATTTTGTTTCTAACCCAGCAGGCGAGCATTGTGTTTGCAAATGGGGGGGGGGCTGTGGCCCCCCCCAACCCCCCCCCCCCCACTTCATTCTTTTTCAAACCCATCATGCGAGTGTTGTGTTTGCAACTGGGACGGGGGCTGAACAACCCTAAACCCTAACCATAAAAAATACTAAACCCTACAAACCCCTTAACCCTAAAAACCCCGAAACCCTAAACCTCAAAAAGCCCCTAAACCCTAAACCCTAAAAGCCCCCTAAAGCCTAAAAATCCCTGAGCCCTAAACCAAAAAACCCTAAAAACCCCTAAACCCCAAACCAAAAAAAAACCTAAAAACACCCTAGAAACCTGAAGCCCTCAACTCAAAAACAAAACTGAGCCCTAAACCAGGTAGAAAAAAGACCTAGAAACCCCTAAGCCCTCAACCCTAAAAACACCCCTAATCCCTGAAAACCCCTAAACCCTAAACCCTAACAACCCCTAAACCCAAAAACCCCTAAGCCCTAAACCTAGAACCCAAAACCCGATCATCCCCAAAACCCTAAAAACCCCGAAGCCCCAAACCCTTAAAAAGCCGCACTAAACCCTAAGAAGCCCAAAGCCTAAACCCTAAAACCCCTAAACCCTAAAACCCCTAAACCCTGACATCCCCTGAGCCCCTAACCCTACAAACCCCTAAACTCTAAACCCTAACAAAACCTAAGCGTCAAAACCCCTAAAAAAAACCAAACCCTGAACCTAAAAACCCTCAACCCTAAACCCTAAACACGACACGCATGGAGGTTACCAAGAATATAGATTGTTCCGAGAAGGCATTGCATTGAAAGTCTTGTAGTTACACAAGCAGAAGGATTCAGATGGAGGGTCTATAGGTTTCCGGATGGGGTCTAGTATGATGGCAATAGAGCCTATGGAAAAATGCATAGGGGCCCATGCGACATAGGGGGGTGGTATAGGTAGGGATAGGTCTATGCATGGGGGTCTATGACAAACGGGGTAGGGTGCATAGGTTGGCGGCATAGGTACTTATCGGAAACCCATAGAAGTCTATCATAGACGGCTACTAAATGCGACTATCTTCGCTAATTTTGGAGCTTCTCAATGGAGGACCGGACGTTGACGTGTTACACATTGCCTGTTGTCGGCCCAACATGTAAGCAACCATGGGAGGAAAGGCACAAAAGCTCCTGTGGTTGTGCCCCAGATGGCCTGGAGTTTATCGTGCTTCCCCTGTTGCGCAGCTTGCAGCTGAGTTTAGCATTAACTTTTCGAGGTCCTTTGGGCCATTGAGGGTTGATTTGCAACATGCGTTCAGCACATTGTTCTGGTTGTCTGTCATCCGCATATTTCTAGTCGGCCATAGGTCCTCAGGTCCCCAAGTGCCAAAATAACCTTTCAGGTTGCCACATCACTGCCATCTGGAGCCGTGAGCCGTGCACAGGCGCACAACATGTGCCGTCTGAGCGCAGCGGCTCTTCATCCGATCTCCGATCTCCTCGAGTCTTTCGGAGCTCGCGGCCTCAGTTGACACTAGCTCGCCACAGATAGCCGCGCAGAGCAACGCCAAGAACTGTCACTTCAACTGCTTCAACCGTGGACTAGACTCAAATTCGAGAATATTGAATGCCAAAGAATCCCAGATGCCCGAACGTTGCCACAGCTGCCACAGCCAAAGCATCCCTCTGAGGCCAGCAGTGCTAAGAGACCCAACCCCGGACTGTTGCATGCGCTCGGAAGATCTCTGCACCTGCAAGAACTTTCAGGCGCTCAGCGGCATTGGCAAGGGTTTTCCAGTGCTTTCGACTTGACTTGTTCTCAGAAGGTCGTTGTCTTGGCTGTCTCTGTGTTGTCTGTTCAGCGGTGAATCATGGCTTTGCACAGGGAGCGTTCATAACACCTGCTGAGCGTTCATTTGGCCACGAAATTTTTCAGGGGCACAATTCAGTTTGCGAAGCTGCGAAGCTTGCTTCTCAATGTCCGCCGAGACCGGAGGCCTGCGGCGCTTAGGTCTTCGTCTAGGAAGATCTGAAAAGGTCTCACCCAATCAAAACGACGGGGAGTGGGCTGCCCTATCGATCGGTGTCCGGCAATGGGCGGCGTTGTGTTTTCCTCCTGTCCCCCCCCCTTCCCCCCCCCTGGCCCCCCACCTCTCTTAGCTTTGCATGACATGCATTCCCACCCCCCGCCCCACACATGACACACGAAACAGGTCGATCATCGCCACTTTTTGCGGCATTGCTCCCGCACCCCAGCTGACTGAAATTTCGCGCTGTCTGCCAGCCTCCTGCCCCCCCCCCCCTCTGCCTCACTTGCATGACATGGCCACCCTTTCTGGGGCGGCCTCACGCTAGCAGTTGAATTCTCTTAGGTTTTATGATTGGTGTAGAGATTTGGATGAATTATCTTAACCTTTTGTGTGAATGTGCACGACTGCGAAACTTGGAAAAATGCCACGAATGAGCCAACTTCAAAGGTAAGTTGGGGGACGTTCCATGCAGATTGCTAGGGGATGCTAGAGCTGTCATCCATGGAGCATCTCGTGATGTGTTGGGCTCCGGTGCTCGCCGCCTTCTCCCAGTCCTTTCGGAGCTTGTCGTCTGCCTCCATGTCCTTCTTGACTTGGTCCATGACCTGTCAAGGACAATCCTTGAACAACATCAGGATATGTCAGGATGCCTATGGGCCTCTTGGATGCTTGAGGCTTACCCTGACAAAGGCATGTCCAGGACTCTGAGACAGACTCTGCCAAGGGAAAAAAGAGGCACAACCAGAGCCCAAAGACATAGCACCGCCAACAACGCAGCAGCACTTGCAAAAACCTCCATGTTCCCCGAGGACTGACCAGCCTGCTTGATGAAGCTATTCCTGCACAAACAGAATGATGTCGAGTAGACTCGATGCATACGTACACCAAAGCCCCCCCCCCCCCCCCCCCGAAGTCCCAGCTCTGGGCCCTGCGTCCTCCGGGCTTGGGCAGACAGCTGCGGGGAGAAGCGGCTTCGCCTGAGAAGTCCAAAACTCTGACCGAAAAAACTGAGCCAAGCGGCCAAGGCCTATCTTGTTGATCTTGCTTTGCAATTTCACCCAATTCACTCCAAACCTTGCTGTGCTCTTTCCGAGTCAGCTCCCGGCCGCGTCAAACCCCGCAGGGCCAGCCGTGCCTCGTGGCAGAGGATTCCGAAGCAGAGTCCATGAACGTGTTCCGTCGGCAATTGACACCTGTGTTAAGCAGCTGCGCAAGCGGTGCATCTTATGCTAGTGATGTAAACGATGAAGCTATGGGCTATGGAAGTGTCGATTTTGACCGCTCGTGGTGGCACGGCGTGCCGAAGGGTAATGTGCAGCACAGTGAGCGAAGGTTTGCCCAAGGCTTCGCAAAGCTTTTCGCTACTTCAGCAAAAGCCAAACGAAGCTCAGGAAAAAATGCTCCTCACACCTTACGTGGCTTGTTGCCCTAGATTAGCCGCCCTCATAAACTCTGAAAACAAAGTTCGATAAAGACTACTATGGTCCATCTTCATGAATGTTCGGGGTTCCAAGCATAGGAAAACGTTCGATGCTCTTCTTGAAGCGATTAGTGGACCGCTTGTTCAAGTCCACTCCTAAACGTGCCACTCTGGACAGCATAGCATGCAGTGCAAACCGAGCTGCAACACCCAGCGGCTTTCTCGGGCCGGGCATCACTGCTCGGAGTTGCTCAAAATCGAGGATTGCACCATGGGATGAATCACGTTGGGTCAGCACTTTGGTTTGGGCGGACAATGGTGGACAATGGCGGACATGTGCACCGCATTGACACTCTGTGCACCATTCACGTCGACCCCCCACGGCGAAGGTCAGGGAAGGCAGGTTTGTCACCACCAATTGGTCTCCCCTGTCATGCACAAATTTGGCTGGGCACCCAGCCATAGGACACAGGAAGGCAAGCTGTCACGTCTCTGTGAGACCACTCGCCATCGCTCACCGGACGCAGCGCGACAAGGCGTTGTATCTTTCACGGAGGTCATGAGGACACTCGATCGGGGTAAAGACAAAATTGTGATTGTCGATGCCCGGAGGCGGATGGGAGAAGTCAAGGTGGTTGTGGGCACCGTAATCGTTCCGCTGCCCAGGCCGCTCCGGGCACCAGCGTTCGTTCCCCTGGTAAGGACAAAGGTCTGCTACCACGATGACGATCTCTTCTGAAGCGAAGCCGCTCTTCTCCAAGGACTTGAGGCTGTGCCCCTTCAAGCCTCAAAGCCCGGAACACTCCAAGTTCCATGAAACGATCCATGCCGGTCCAAGCATGCCAAGCTTGCCAAGCATGCCAAGGCACCGTAGGCCGAATGGAGGAAGCGCCCCTTCGCGCAGCTGAAGCAGCCGAGCCTGTTGGCAGTGATGTTTGCCTATGTTGACTATGTTTGACTGAAGAGGATGAGAATCTGCATCAACGCAAGGTTCAGATATGTTGGCGCGCCCCATGGTGCCGTAGCCGCCACCAGGACCCTGGCACCAGCAGCAGCCCTGCCTCAGAACTGTTCATTGCTGTCAAGCAGATCAAGTAAACTTGCATCAAGACTTCGAGCGTTTTACTCCATCGCCATCATCTTGAAGCAGCCCAGTGTCCACATGGACTGAGCAGACGCGACGCTGTAGTATGGCAGACCTTCCAGAAATCATGCGCCATCCGTGTTCAAAGCAACAAAACACTGGCAGTGGTGCAGAAACTGATTCAATCCCAGCTCCGCAAATCCACCCTCCCTGGCACTCACTACCCGAACACAAGTTCAACCACAGGTCTTGTTCAGTCTAAGTATTGAACATGCCCCCTTTTCAAGTTTCGAACGGTATACTGCCAAATTCCCATTTCACCATGACCTCCTCACAGAAGTCTTTCTGTTCATAATGCCAACTCACAACTGAGAAGTCTTTGGCGAACCAACCGTACTTGCAGCCAGGCCCGCAAGAAGACGTACGTTCTACGTTGTCCTACTAGTGGACGAAGTTCGGATGGCTGTAGTACTGCTTGACTGAATACATTTGTGTCGATGTTGAGTTTAAACTTTGTGATACGAGGACATGCAAGTATAGGCTGCGAACAGCCTTTGTGCAGCTTGCACTAGACCTTCGAAACCGAAGTACAAGCCAAGCCTTGCTACCAGCCTTGCTACCAGCCTTGCCAAGCCTTACTAAGCCTTGCTAAGCCAGCAGACAGCAGCGCCTGCAGTCAGCTGCCCGGTGTGCATGCCGCCACAAGCGGCGGCCTTCGCATCGCCGTAGCGTGTAGTTGTGGCAAAGGTTGCATAGCCGGCGTAACCTGCAGGACTCCAACAGAACTGGCACGCCAGAATTGCAAGCCAAGCCCTCACAAAGCTTACCCGCTTGATATATACTTCTGCCGTGCACAGCAACCTCAAGTGAATTCTGGCATCTAACCATGCCGGGCAGCGATGGGCGTTGGCTGCACGGGTGCCATTTGTTTCCAGAAGATCGTGGCTGAAGTTCTCAGGCTCCCAAGCATGCCTGCCAAGAAGCGCCGTGATTCAACTCTACTCCATTTCATGACACTGTGCGCAACACGCAAGCTCATACTTCAGTGCATGTACTGCCTACGCAGTGATAAGAAAACGGCGACCAGCAATCTCCTTTCATCATAGCACATGATCACATACATCGCTCCAAGGGACCTCGACCTCACCGTTGTGTTCTGTGGAAGTCCCGTGCTGTTCTCCGGCGAGCCAAGTCCTCCAACAGCCCGTCAGCGCATGAGAGTTGCAGAGGTTTGCACACATCATCTCACGCCAAACGAGGCCTGCAACACTCTCACCTTTTCACAGCGAGGACTACACTCTGACCCTCATTGTAAATCCACTCTGCAAACTTCCCTTCCCAACACGGTGTCTTGCAGCAGCTTGGCCAACTTGGCTAAGCAGGAGAGCCAAAGCCGCTGAGAAGCCCGTAGCGACCATATCGCGGAGAGTTGGAGAGCGTGACCTCTCCCCCACCCGCCAAATTCTCAATCTCTAAGACATGGAATATGATAGTAGTTGTGAACTTGCCGTTTCAACAAGGCCAAGGCCACTAGATAACTCGCCACAACAAACCCAGAGCCAGCGAGAACATTCCCAGACGCCTCCGGCCCGGCCTGGGAGAACAACCGGGACTTCACCCAATGAGCCCAAGCGGCTGGCAGTTGACAAATGGGGCAGCAAACACAGCGGCGAGGGAGATTAGGGTCATTAGATCCGTGGCAGCAAACACAAGCCGCAATGGAAAATTAGAGCCACCAAAAGCGTTAGACGCTTCAATCTTCCCAGTCGTCCCAAAGCCTGCATGGCGCCACGATGGTTGGATGCTCAGCCTGCTCCGCCCGTTCTCCTGCATCAGGCAATTTGGTGCGCCAAACTCAAGTTCGAGCCTCATGGCTTGAACGATGATGACGCGGCCCTCTTGACGATCCCGAATTGCTTCGCAACATTTGCATATCACGCTCGAAAAGCAAAGCGCCTGCCTGCGGACAAAAGATGCTATCCGTGTAAACTGTGCATTTCTGAGCCAATTATGGGAAACAGCGGGGATACGAGCATCAGCAGTGAACCTGCAACGAAAATCACATGCGGGAACCTGCAAACTGAAACGTAGGGTCGGTCGCACGCACATGCGCAAATTGTGAGACGAATAATTTGTGATGGGTGACCAAGTGGGGTAACGAACCCCGAACAACACACACCTGCTTTTAAAGGGGGGCGAAAGGCTGCGAGGAAAAAACATGAAAAAACCTTGGCAATTGGAGGCCCCGACATCAGTGGCTGTCCTAGCAGTCCTTGCTTCTCCGGAACAGCCGAACGTGACCCCACCACGGCTCCCGTCGTCCAGCGCGGAGACTGGACCAAGCTAAAACCGATACAATCACAGAAAAACTGCGTGGTTTGCTTGTTTGTTTGCTTCGTGGCGAGAAAGATTCGCACCTTGCGGCAGGTCAAATACAAGGAGGGGGCCCTAGGTTATAAGCATACTTAGAAGCTTTGTTCTAAGCTTGGTAAGTCATCTTATAAGTTCGATAAATCACATTATAAAATATGGACAACTTGTTTTGAACTTCAAAATTACATGTGGTTATTTTGAAGTTCAACACGTTTATAAGTTAATCAATATACCTG